GCCTACTATCTAAAAATAACACCACACAAACATTACATATGTTTGCCAGGCGTTTACCGAAAAGCAAGCGGCGCTGCACCTAACCAACCAACTCATGCCGTCGCGTCCCGCAGGACATTTTTTTGCATGTGTGTAGTAATTTTGGTGTCCGTGCACAGTTCGCAAACGCACACACCCATTTATTTTATTTCCCCGCCTCCAGCCGCAGGCTACTGAAGTTAGTTCGGCAGTTGTCGGGAGTAATCGGAAATGTTTGTTGCCGCCATGTTCGCGGGGGCCATTTTTTTTCATGTGATAAGCATTGTTTACTAATTTGTTGCCGCCAGTATAATTATAGTTTTATTTTTCATTTTAACATTTGAAAGTGTGTACATTTAACAGTTTATTACTGAGTTCCGTTGATTTTTTTAAAATGTTATTTGATTGTGAGGTATGTGTGGAAAATGTCTGTATATTAAAAATTTAAAATTCTCACAATTGTAATTCTGTGAAAAGATTAAAATTGTGTCTAAAGGTAGGTGTGTACCCGAGTTACAACAATTAAACCAGCAAAAAGGAAATGTAACTCGCAAGTTTCATGTTAAAAGTTATGAAACGTATGGCTGTGTGGTTGTGTACACACGATTAAATTATATTGTTTTCCTACTCCGCCGCATATCTAGTGTCATAATCCTGTGCACGCCGCTGAGTATAATAAATTATAATATATTTTATATAATACATCTATAGACTTAAGCAGACATACAGCGTATAAAAGTATTAGTCATCTGCATTAGTAATATATCAAAGTTCCGATCCAATGATTAAAAAAAATTAAACTTAATTTAGAATTATTGATAACTCTTCGCCAGTTCCTACTTTCGAAATAGTCTTAATTGACCTTTTTATTCGCAACACTTTTAAGATATTTGTGCAGAGTAGGTAAGTAAAGTAATTTCACCTTTAAAATAATGTAACTTAAAAAAATAACAAAATGGCATTACTATTTAAAACCTTGAACATTAAAAAGGACCTTTTATACAGAAAAACAGTAGTAGGTGGTAATAGTAGTAACGTGGCTCAAACATTAATATCTCTATGTGTATCTCTGGTCATGTTATCATTACATTAAGGAGTGTACAGTTAAGTAGGATCACTATGTTGTATCCACCAAAAGCAATAAATAATAGTTCTAAATCCAGAATGGCGCTAGTGTAGTGAAAGGGAATGACATGAACATAACATAGCAGTTATAAAAGTTTTTTATTGTCTGGAAAACTCATATTCTGACCGATTTCGCAGTCTAGTACACAGTCTAATTATTTTTTAAGCCAACAAAAAATTTACATAAGTTATATTTTTTCTTTCCATGTTTAATTCTCTATTCTACTCTAATGACTTTTGGTTATTTCTTTAAAATTTACTCTGATGCTACAATTTTACGCACTTTGACGGACACTTCAAACACTCCTTACCTCTACACTACTTTATCTCTAGTAACGTCGATGAGGTGCGAACCAGGAACTGCTTGATAGCTAGTGCCTAGCCGTTATGCTGCCGTCGCTTTAATGTATACAACGCAGAGATGCTTGTAACAGGTGCACCGAATGGTGTAGCAATGTATAGTATAAATTACAGTAGTTTTATCAATTGTATAATTTAATACGAACCACTAGGTAATATATAGTTAATTTTAGATATAATAATATTGATAATTAACTATCTTATTTACAGTGCAACATTTCAAGTACAGGGAATATAAAATACCTGATTATGTTGCTCCTAAGATTTTAAACGATTTTGATATGTTTTTACATATCCATTTGACTAATAACACTTTTTATCATTGTATCTTTAGATACAAATTTATCTCAAAAATATTGCATTTGATCATTAAAATGAATATACCATATAAATGGAATTGCAAAAATGTGTGGTCTTATTTTAGGAGTGTTATAGAAGTAGACGACATGACGGGGATTTAGTTTAGAAACCAAATGGTTTAAAACATTTTTTCAAGAAATGCTTGTCATAGTTACACTCTGTGTAATTTCTAAATAGAATATACTTTTAAATGTAAATGTCAGTTATTTGTTTTTTCAGAAGACATTTTTTGATAATGCTGAACATTCCATTCCTAGCATCATCATGGTTTTATGTCAGCCCGCTCTTGAATGAAATACCAGTTCTATTAATCAACTTGTCACTTTCAAAATAAGATTTTTGAAAGTCACGAATTTTCCTGTAATTGTTATTAATAAAAAATTACGTTATTTACTATTAAACCCTAAAATATGACCACACTTTTCTGTAACACCCTTTACAGTAAGTAGTCGTGAGGCAAGATGGATTGTTGCAATGACGTGATTCTTTATTAATTGCAAAATTTTGTGCCACATATTGAAGTAAAACTTCTGCACGCACGCTTGACTTAGGGAGTAAGCTCGTGAATGCGTGACGCGGGCGTTACGAAAAGTGTGATCGGGCGATGCAAACGGAAGTTGAGAGGGAGATATAAGTTAGTGAAGATAGAAACAGAGTTACGTTTGGTATATTACTGTAGGGGCAAGAGAGAGGTGCGAGCACACATTTTCTTTCTCTCTTTCTCTCATAGCCAAGAAGTTTTACTTCAGTCGTGTGGTCTAAAACACACTCGCTTTTATTTGACTACACGTTTTTTATTGCCGTTCTTGGTGAAATATTGCCCTTGTACTCGTATAATGAAATGAACAAATCGTAAGTTGGAAAATGTGATGATTAAGTTTAAATTCATACAGAAGAGAAGGATTTAAATGTTTTAAGAAATATAATATTCGTAAACCTAGTTGAATCGAGAAAAAAAAATGACGGTACTTCATGAAATCATTCAACGCACAAAAAATTAAACCTTGCCAATGTTCTTAAAAGTATTTAATAAATTAAGTATTATTGTAACTAATTGGACTGATTGTAAAATTGATTTTCAAATCGACTTTTGTGCTTGTATTACTACAACGTGCATCTAAATTTTACGAATGCATAATCGAATCTATGACTACTAACTAAAAAATATGAAAGAACTAGATCGACAGACAGATGTTTCGTAACTTTCAGACTTTTCATCATTGTCTCTCTTCTACCCTTCTCGGCAGAACTTGGTAAAGTTCTTAGTTTTATCTCTTTCATTAATTTATTCTCTATATTCTAGTCTAAAGGATATAGGTTAAAAGGCTTGCTGTAAAGTGACCTAGGCTTGCTGTAAAGTGATCTACCGACGTACTAGTGCTAGCTTGGTCTTGTACTACTCCTTAAATATTAATAGGCGGTGATATTTTAAATGATATTTACTGCCTTTTGTAGATTATACATAGAATCATATTTAAACTTTAAATTTAATATTACCACCAATTTTGCTGAATATCTACGCAGTAGTGTAGATTCGTCTGTCGATCTAAATAAAATGTCTGTTATTCCATCTTAGTGTTGCCATATTTATTGAGAATTATAGCTAGCTGCTGTTTCGTAGTAAAAGTCAATTGGTATGGTATGGAAGGTCGACGGAAGGAATAACGTATCGTTTTTCTTACTTGTTTTGAATAGAGATTTTTCTAAATAGATCATCAATCGTCTTTGTGAGTTGTCTAATGCAAATCAGGTTTTTGAATCCTTCCTTCTTACTATTTAAAATAAAGCCTTTTATGGAGATCAATGAAGGGAGTTTTATCTTTTTAATAAAACACACCAGGCAATTGACTGTAAACTGTTTGTTAACTCTGACAAAAATTTAGTTTAGTCCGGATCTATGTGACCGCTATGGAATAACAATCCGCAACTTGACTGTCAATCATTATTAAACGTCAAAGCAGTCATTATTGAAGAAATTTATATGACAACCTGTGACGTCATACAAAGCATTGTATGACGTCACAGGTCGTGTATTTGACAAGTACTTGATCTATTTATAATATTTCATGTTACTTACTATTATCTTAAACTACTTATAGTTTTTAAAAAAATGAGTAACATGAAATATTACCATACCTACTCATCTAATTTTTCAGTTATTGTATAACTTTTTAATTTCTCATTTAATCTCTTTAATCTTTTATGAGGACTGTTCAGTAATTTATTTTAAGCTTGTCGACTGTTTGACTTGTTCGTACACTGTCGGCATTCGAATTCATTAGGTAAATGGTACATTTCCATGTGATTTTAATAAGCGACAGTTGTTGTGGGTTGTTCAAAAAACAATTATAACAACACATTACTAAATAAATAAAAATGGCGTTCACATAGGAATTTTTCAATATTTAATATTATGTTATAATATTACTAATATATGATTATATTTTGTTTAGAACTGATGTATTGACCCCAAATGTGTTACACAGTTATGGTCTATAAAGAGTATGGAAATAAGGGTTGTTATCGCTAATAATGCGAATGTAATGAAGCGAAAGAAAGATTAAAGGGTTTCTTGACATTACAAGTGTTTTATTAATTTTGACGTACCTTTTTCTTCTAATTGCTTTCCAATAAACCACCCCTCCACATGATTCAATAATCACCTCATGTGTCACCTTTATACGACTTTAAATTATTACTTTAATAACTTTTTTTTTTGCTTTTAAAAAGACAACTCCCGCATTAGGAATATATCCTATGTCGCGGGGACTTGAAACATACATGAAACGAACACAAAGCACACCCACAAAGAACAACAATTTGTGGATCGTCCCATGTGGGGATCGGACCCACAACACTCAGCGTAATAGTATTTGGCGTGGCAACCGCTTAAACTACTGCGCCACATCAGAGCACATCAGATTGAAATATCGTGGATATCGAAAACAATTCTCGTAACGGAGTTTTTTTTTTGCTTCACCTTATGATTACTCTTCTATTGATTTCTCTTATAACTAGCGGCTAGTATCCTTGTTTAAAACGTAAGCGGGTAAAGAAAATATAGTGTATCGTCATACTATATTTATTCAATAAAAAAATAACAATAATATCACTTACAAACTAAAAAAAATACTCTACTATGCAGTAGTTTTTTGAGTCATAGGAAGGTCCTGCGTTGCCCCATTTTCGGCTTCAATTTCTACTACTGGGGTGACGTTATCGCCATTTTGTTTTGTTACGTCATCTGTCGCCTTCATAGTGACGTCATTGACCTCAGCATCACCTTCAGGAACCTCAGATGCCTTCTTAAATTTGTTAACATCTGAAATAAATTTTGTATTTATAGAGAAAACTGTTAAAAATGGGTGCATACCACATAAAACTAAAACTTTTGGTCAACATTTTTCTAATGACTTGACTAACTAATGATTTTTCTAATTTAAACAAACAAATTTTATTTGATATATGTTATTATTGGATGTAACTAAAAAAAAATACATTCAAGTTTATCTGATAGCATCCCTAAAAACGCGACTTATAATAAAAAAAACGGAAGACCCAGGTCGCACTTTGCTATTTGACAACATTGAACGTATTCTCCAAATTATGGTAATCCTATTAGATAATAGGATAGAATCGGATAATTTACTTTATTTCAAGCTAATTGGTGTAATTTTTTAAGCAATTTAGTGCTTTTTGTTTTATTAAATTTACCTCGGACGGGAACATCCTATGATTGGACACAAGTTTGTGAAGACACCGCAATAGTCACAAGGGTCAAAAGTGAACCATAGATTTGAAGTTAACAAAACAAACAATCTCAATTTATGAATTTCTTCGACCGATTTTTAGATTTCTAATTTTAAAGTGGTATAAATATCGCGAATTGCTAATTGTAACCACAGTTTTCGTCTTTTGGGATCCGTTGGCACAAAAAAAAACAGTTTATGTGGAGTAGTTTTTGACGTATTTTACCATTTGACACTACACACCATTTATACGCCATTTTATCTAATATATCTGAACCAAGATAATGAAACTCACTTTATAACCACGTCAGCACTGTTTTGATTACGTCATATGTCTGAAATCCTTGCGGATTAGTCTACACGTAGAATGACGGTTTTGAAAAAAATACGAAATTCAGGTTTTACCATATTTGGATACTATATTGTCTAAATATTATTATTACATTCAAGAAAATATTTGCATTTTAGATATTAAATTATTCAGTCGGTAAACTGAGGAATTTGATGGGCGCTCAAAGTAAAATGAAGCATATGATTTTTCTAGAAAATTGTATAATTATTACTTGTTATTTTGTATGCTAATTTTCATAATCTATACTAATATTATAAAGCTGAAGTTTGTTTGTTTGAACGCGCTTATCTCAGGAACTACTGGTCCGATTTGAAAAATTATTTCAGTGTTAGAAAGCCCATTTATCGAGGAAGGCTATAGGCTATATATCATCACGCTAAGACCAATAGGAGCGGAGCACCAATGAAGAATGTCCCAAAAACGGAGAAAATTTATTACTATTGAGAGACGCAGACGAAGTTGCGCGGGTCAGCTAGTTACGGATATAGAATTAAAAAAGTTATGTCAAATAAAATAACATGATTATTTGAAATGGCTGCCCTGTAAAGTTCAATAAATGTCAAATTCGACACTATTCTACCACTATGACGATTTGGTTGGTTTTACTCACCATATTTGCTATAGTCAGCGCCTAACAGACGTAGGTAGTGAACAGTGTCTGGAGTCGCGGTGTAGGCGCGAAGAGAGTGAACGCCACGCCATCCTACCAGCGTGAGTTCCAGATTTGGGTCCTGGCCTTCTTCTTTGTATTCTAATACGCAGCTGCCCGTCGCTGTGGAAATCATATTTTTAAATTTTATCTGAAAATAATTAAAAAAGTCGTGCCTTTTCCCAATCCTATATAATATTGTTGAGGTCTTGGGTTCGATTCCCGGGTCGGACCAAATGTTTGTATAATCTGCAGATATTTGTTTTGGAGTTTGGATGGTTAATATATTTATAAAAATAAAAGTATTTAAGTACTCTATCAGTCAACCTAGCTTTTATACTACAAGCTCTGTTTAGTTTGAAACTAGATGGCGTTATGTGTCAGATGTCGGAAAATATTATTATTAGGGTCTGTAACAAAACTTATTATTCAAACAATTAAATAAAATGTTTTGCCTGGTTTCTTGACTATTTGGTGTAATAAATAAATTTAAAAAAATAACCTCTATAATGTAATCGTTTGGTTAAGTCTGTAGGCTAAGGGATACCGCAAGTGTCGATTGGAAACTGGGACTGAGACTGCATTAGCTCGAAGAGGCCAAGGTTGCTTACCTGTATGTCAATCTTATAATTGAATAGACTAGGGACATCAATTGCCCTGAGGCGCATTCTTCGGCTTATATAGGCCAGCTCGACCGAAGTACCACAGTCTCACAGAAAATCGTTGTTAAGTAATTTTTAGTAGTGAGAGCCGAGGACACACTCCCTTTACTTCGCATGATTCTGCCGGAGGCACTTAAAACCCGGCACCGCGCTTATAACTATTGTGTTAAGGGTGTCTATAGATGGCGCTAGTGAATTACCATCAAGTGACATTAAAAACGTAACAACATCCAACTTACCAAAGTCCTTGACCAATTGTTGCGTGTGTTCAGAAAACTGTGTGACGTTCGGCGGTTTGCTAGGATTATCGTTTTGTAGGACTAAGATCAGATCTTCTTTTAGTATACGAATTCGTCGTTTCGGACCGATGAATTGTGTAATACTTTGTAGGCCTTCTTGGGATAGTCTGAAAAGTCCTTGTCAATATTAGTAAGCTTCTTATTAAAAACGGAAAACATCTCAAACAACATTTTATTTTGTGTTGTAGAATATTATATATATAGCCCATTATAAAAGATAACAGACGACCGAATGGCGTAGTGGTTTGTGTAACGGACTGCTATTCCAAAGGTCGCGGGTTCGATTCCCGCTCAAGTCAAACATTTGTGTGCATGAACATTTAATGTTTGATTTGGTCTGGGTGTTAATATGGATAATAAGTATGTATTTACAAAAAAAAAAGTATATATGTATTTATATCAGTTGTCTAGTACCCATAGTACAAGCTCTGCTTAGTTTGGGACTAGATGGCGTTGTGTGAATGTGGTACAATATATTATTAGTATTATTATTATTATTATACTTCCACGCGATCAAGTGAAAGATTAGTTGACTCCACTTTACTCTAGTGATGATGACAGATACTGCATTGCAAAATGAAAGTTTCATAAAATATCCAAATTTTTACAGCTGAGCTGTATGCTCTCTTTGTGTCAATTCATACTAAACACTGAGTTCAGAGAGATAGAGCTAAAAATTATGTGCTAACAATTTTTTTTCTAATCAAGTTACCAGCTTCTTGTAAATACTTAACTTACGGTACAATGCTTATTATATTCAAAACACTCACCTAAAAGGACACACCATATTCTTGTTATCACATCTCACAAAAGTTTTAACACCGGTGTTGATTATCTTAATATTGTTTTCGTTTCTCGATACGATATCTTTTACAACTGGCGACACGAGATATATATTCTTCTTCTTGCCAATATGACACCTCGTTAGGAGACAGGTTGGGTCGAAGGACTGCTGGAGATCGTAAAAGTCCCTTATTGATGGGTATACGTCCTCAGAATCTCCTAAAACAACATTAAGAAACATTAACTGAATAGAACCTGTGTCGCGAGGGAGTTTACAAGACATGAAACGGATACAAAAAACCCCCTTACTCAGAACAACAATTTGTGGATCACACAGTGGATCCTATGTGGGGAACGAAACCACAACATTTAGCGCAGTAGGAAGCGGTGAAGTGACCGCTTTAACCACTAGGCTATCCATGCAGTCAATGAAGTGAAACATGTTCATTTTTTACTAACTTTTAAACTTTCGCGTTCCATGATAATTAATATTATTTAACGGGAATTAACGATCTCTGTGACCCTGAACATTTAGAACAGGAGCTAAAACATGTTCAGGAGGTACTCAAAGGTAACGGATATCAAGTGAAAGGAGGACGGAAACAACCGAAAATAAGACGCAAGTATCCAGAAGTGAACAGGCAACCGGCCTATATGCCTTATGTCAAGGGAGTTACGGACAAGATCGGGTCTGTACTAAAGAAATATTCCATTCCGACAGTATACACACCAGGCATAAAGGTTCACAACATCGTCGGCACACCGAAGGATACATTGCCACTACAAACTCCGGGTGTTTATAAAATAGACTGCAGCTGCGGAAGCTCATACATAGGCCAAACTAAGCGGACTATTGCAGAAAGGGTCAAAGAGCATATCGCTGCTGTGAAGAACCGACAGACGAGCAAATCAGCGATTGCAGAACATGCACTCGATGCAGGCATCAACCACTGGATTGAATTTCACCGCACGCAAGTCCTCTCCACCGAACGTCACTTTTACTCAAGAGTTGTACGTGAAGCGATTGAGATTAAAAAGCATAAAACTTTCAATCGGGAAGATGGTTTTAAATTATCTACAGCGTGGAATCCAGTGTTAAAAAACATACCACCTCGCTTTTCTGCGCAATCGGTTAAACACCAGAATAGGGACTCATCGGTTTGCTTACAGAATAGGGACACTGTTAGTGTGGTATGTGACGGTACATGGCGACACAAAAACAATATCGAAAATGTGCGGGTAGATGAAGAGCCTTCTACTTCACGGATTCGACGACGGAGGGCGTGCGCCGATGAGCCAGTCAGCCTGTGACCACGGCCGGTGCAACCTGGTCGAAAAGTCAGGCAAACCAGAGGTATGTAATACCCTAAATAAGAGATCGCGTTAATTCCCGTTAAATAATATTAATGTTCATTTTTTGTAGCATACTAGTCCAAAACCTCCTTTCTGAGAAGAGGCCTATGTCCAGCAGGGGACTATAAGGGCTGTTGATGATGATGAGGGGTCAAACGAGCTGACGGGTCACCTGATGGTAAGTGATCACCGCCGCCCATGAACACCAGCATCTCAAGGCCCTAGCGTCAGGGGTAGAGGAGGTTTAGGCTCTGGTAACCTCTCTCGGTCAGGGAATAGGATAATGTTAACATTCTTCAATTATACAAATGCACGTATAATATATTCTGTGTATGTACTTTTATAGTATAATGTATGATATAAGTAAACAAACAATATCGAATAAATCAAAATACCTGAGAAGAACACAAATGGGTCTTCTCTGTAACCGCCCATTCTTCTCCTCTTCTTGGGCGGCTCCTTTACTGGTGCACTATTTTTTTCTGATTCTTCTTTTTTCTGAGTTAATTCTGTGTGGTTACCTTCCTTCTCCCATGGAAGGAGGGCGGTCTTTTCGAAGACTGCGACGAAGAAACCTCCAGTGTCTTGGTGGTGAGGCAGAATTCTAATACTGTTAAAATAATTTCTGTTGTTAATACCTACAGTAGTTCTCTCTCTTTAAGTAATACGGTATTTGCGGTATTTTTCGTATAGAATACTAAGGAGTGACGTCATACCTAGGTATGCGGGAATCGTTTACATTTAACGTTGTTTTTAAGACATTAAATAAATAAATTAACACCTTTTTTTTACTACATACACACACAACGTAATTTTTTTTATGGAATAGAGGGAAAACGAGCAGACGAGTCATCTGATGGAAAGCGACTACCGCCGCCCATGAACGCCTGCAACTCAAGAGTCACAAGTGCGTTGCCAGCCCTTAAAATGTATCCCCAATCTAGTTCCAAACAAAGCAAAGCTTGTACTATGGCTACTAGACAACTAGATATAAATACATATATACTTTTTTTGTAAATACATACTTATTATACATAGAACCACCCAGACCAAATCAAACATTAAATGTTCATGCACACAAATATTTGACTTGAGCGAAAATCGAACCCACGACTTTTGGAATAGCAGTTCGTTACACAAACCACTACGCCATGTACCTACTCAAGTGAAATGGGGTAATGACTTTGTTTATTTGTTCTTAATTTTCTCTTTTTCTTCATCTTTGCCACGAAGATAAGAAGGTTCACAACATTTGGATCTCCTAAAATTTACGATCTGACAAAAGCTGTGAACTCAAAATATGAAAGTTACCATTTTTCTAAATTATATTTCGGCAAGTCTTCTGGCTTGGGTGGAAACATCTGTGGTCTCACTACGGTCTGCCATTTCTCTGGTACATCTTCATACTTCTCGTAGAACACCATGTCTTTGGATGCTGGACGCCAATATGTCATACCTGTAACGAAATTATCATCAAAATCGGATATAGGCCTTTCCACACCACACAGACATATTATACTTTTTATTAAATAACGTTTTATTTTATCTCTCAAAAGTACTAAATTAGCTAAGGTTAAGTAGATTTATACAATTACGGGTAATATATATTATTCTTGGTAGTCTGTTAGTCTGGAAGCTCTCTACCTATACCAGCATACCTTTATGGAATTTGAGTCCAGGCAACATGTATTCCACGTCGACTAACTTCACAGCGTCTCCTGTCTCCTGTAGAACTCTGTGAACCACGGCTTCGTTCTCCACAGGGTTGAAAGAACAAGTAGAGTAGACCAGACGTCCTCCGATATCTAACAGCTCACAGCCACGTTTTAGCACGCGGTATTGGATACTGTTGATTAAATAAAATTTATTGTTGAGATGTCCGTGTAGTGACGGATTAAGAATACGGAATGTCACTACCCCAATTCATCCCGTGGGTGTCGTAAGAGGCGGCTAAGGGTGCAAAACAACGCAGGACAACAGCTCTGCAAAAAGAAGGAAAACTTGTCACAAACCCTATACCAACCCGTCTGGCCAGCGTGGTATAGTAGGCCAAAACCTCCTTTTTAAGGAGAGGCCTATATGTTCAGCAGTGGACTATTACAGGCTGATGATGTGATGTGATGTGATGATGTTGAGATGAAAGTGCCTCATTGGTCTGAACTGGCACAGAACAGGAAAGAATGCAGCACTTTAATGTTGGAGGCCAAACCCCTTTTTTGGTTGTTGAACCAGCAAAGTAAGCATTATTGACTAGTTCCCTTTTTTGACTTAACTTTGATAATATATAATCTAGAGGAATCAACTTAGAAGTACATGTTTATTTAACTTACCCATGTAAGTTGTTCCCGTTGCCTGTGGACCACTTGAGCCAAATGTCCGGATTTTTCCTGAGCGTCGCGTCTCCTGAACACGGTACATCACATAAGATGCGATCAAACTTGAGTGGTTTTGTCCTGCCTGGATTCTATTGATAAATAATAATAGAGGCCATTATCAGAGAGGGACAACTTCAGTGAGGTATATTACGTAAGTAACTCACATCAACACAACAGTGCAAGGCTGACTAGCACACTGAGGGTTCCGTACAAAATTGTATTTAAATAGTTCGACCGTCTATATTCGTCCTCTATCGAATCTTACAGTATTGGCAAACAGACAGACAAACAAGAAAGTCAACTCTTAAGGGTTCATTTTCTCCCTTGAGGAACAGAACACAAAAAAACACTGCCTAAAGACAAAGATCACAAAACTAAGATCTGTGTAGTAAGTAGCCTACAACTTACATTTACTGTATAGATTATGTGTAAGGTAGTGATCTAAAGCAAAAGAAAAAGTATTTAACCTGTTCATCTGTGATCTCCAGGGTTGGCATGACAGCAGAGTCGTGATTGGTGATCAGTATACTAGGAGAGTTCAATCTTTTAGCTTGATGCACCAACATGTAACACCTGTTATTGTCCACGTCGTTGGCCATTACGAAACCTAGAAGGGCAAGAGAAGCTTTTCATTTATTTTTTCGTCATTGATGTTAGAACATTACAAGGTATGACCTATCGAGAGATTTGTTTAATATATTTTATTTAGTGACTTTAGGGTATATTCCCATTAAATGCCGACTCAGTGTGGCGATGGATTAAGAATACGGAATGTCACCACTCCCATTCATCCTGTGGGTGTCATAAGAGTCAGCCAAGAGAACGAACTAGGCCAGACAACAGCACTGCAAGGAGAACTACCAACCCTTCTGGACAGCGTGGTATAGTGGGCCAAAACCTCGTTTCTATAGGTGGACAACAGGGGTAACAGTGGTTTATTAAAGGCTATTGTTGTGATGTGTGAAATGCTAACTAAGGTGAATTTACGAAAATGGCTTGAAAGTACCTAATAAAGTTATTATTTCTTAACATATATGACTGACTTTGACTACGAATCTAATAAAAATTTAGGAGCAGAAACTTTTGAGAGTAACATATTTTGTTTTTGTTATAATGTAATATATTGCCCCCCCCTCCCCCCCCGCAAATGACTCACTCGGTAAGAAGCAATAAAATAGTTAATTGTCACTTCTGTGAGGCTGTGGTATCGTTCCGGTCGAACCGGCCAACTTGTGCCGAAGCTTGGCTTATATGGAATGCATTCCAGCAATCATTCCAGTATTCCATATACAACAAGCTAAGCAATTATGTCTGACTGTCAGATACTAGCTAGAAGACTGTTGTGGTAGTGAACATACCTGTAGGCATTTTGTCTTCTTCAGCATGTAGAAACTCAATAAGTTGAGCTGTTTTAGAACCTGGGGCAGCACACATGTCCAAAACCTGTGAAAAGACGGTACTTATTATTTGTTAGGTATCAAGAAAATACTCATAAATAATAGATTTTTTAAAAGGGAAACTCCATCTCTAGGAATATATCCTGTGTAGCAAGGGACTTTACAAACATTCATGTAACGGAGACAAAGAACACCGAGATTCAGAACGACAATATGTTGATCACACAAGATGTTGTCCCAAGTGGAGATCAAAATCCACAACACTCAGCGCATTAGGAAATGGCGAGGTGACCGCTTAAACCACTATGCCATCTATGCAGTTGAGAATTGATAGTGTCACCTGTAATTTTATTGTGTCCCTGTCTTTTGTTCCAAATTATAGACTGTTTGGAAAATTGTGGCCTTTTACCTTATGATGAGGCTGTACATCCAACACAACAGGTGGTATCATGGATACAGTTTCCTGTCTTGACACTCCACCAGCTGCTGTTTCCGCTACTAAGAAGTTATGCAGACGATACAAGGCTTCATTCCGCCTGATGTCTGTACGAGAAAGCCGCAGCTGCCATGCAAACCCTCCTGGATACCTGAACAGTTATTAGCATACATTTGAGTTGAATCCGGGTTTAGATTAACATTATTAAAGTACTAGTTTTGGCCACAGCTCTGACCTTATTGCTGTAAAAAGTAGCCTATGTCCTTTCTAAAGAATCAAACTATCTCCATAGCAAATTACATCTAAATTGCTTAAGCAGTTACTGATTCCCCATAGAAACATCGACCCTCCCTCTAAAGAATGATGCCTGAGATAAAACTATCCTTAGTCCTTTCCTGGACTCAAACTGTCTCTATACCAACTTTTATCTAAATCGGTTCTGTGGTTAAGTGTTAAGCGGTAAGAGATATACAGATACACTTTCGCATTTATAATATTAGTATGGAAGTATGGATTAATTAACATCTAGAATGTGGTTCATTTTATTATTATTTTTTAAGAGAAACATAGTTACTACAGTAAAATTTCTGAAATACTATAATACGTCGGTGAGTAAATAAATTACCTGTTTGAGGGTTACCAGTGCCTAAAGGTACTTACAACACCATGATAACACTATTAATAAACTGGCAATGCTTGCGTAAACACAAAAATGGCCTTAACCTTACCAGGACAAATTGATAGGCTTGATTTCCTCCCCTTCCTCTTTTTCACCTTCAGATAACTTTATGTTCAATATTTCGGAGAAGTACTGGCTCTGCACAATCTTCATGAGGGCTGATGCTTCGCATTTAGATCCAGTGATACGGAATGCCGTTGGCAGGTTGTCTTTCAAAGACTTCATGAAGGTATCCCATTCTGCTTCAGGGCAAACTTTCTGGAACTAAAACACAGAATTGAAAAGCCTATTTAATAATTTTGTAATTCTTGAAATCTTTTATTTAACTTACAATATTTGTTCATTTGGATCAAGTCTCGCAATAAATTTTGAGAGTTTGTTAGAAAAGACCAAGAACAAGAAAGAAGAAAAGATATGTTAGAAAATATCATAAAATTATTGCAATTTGTATGTAATTAATAAAAGTTTTAAAAAGTTTTTTCATAGTTTGTGAGTTCTTGTATGAACTTTATGACGAAGATTTATAAAATACCTTATAGTATTCTTCAAATGCAGCATTCTCTCTCACAATATCTTCGTAATGTTTTCTTGTGTCCGCACCCGGCTTCTCTTGAGGATTTTTCTCCTAAAACACATAAAAAGCTTTTAAATCTTCGCGTTTTAATATAATTAATTTTGCTGGCGGGAATTGTGATAGAAAAAATGTAATGCCTATTGTAATATGTGATTGAGTTCTTTCAATAAACAGCTAATTCTAATTAACTGCTATAGTTAGAATGAGCTGTTTCTATATAAAAGGTTAAAGTTTCTCTGTATTACCTGTTCTTTTCGATCTCTTTTGCGCTGAGCAAACTTATTAACTTGATGTTTTCGAGATCCGCCTCGTCGCCCCATTCTTTTTAAATATGCACCAAGTGAAACTAGTCTTATTTGTGAGAAATATGCCAGCTTTTAATATTTTAAGCCGCAGTTGTTGGTTTTGATTACTTTTGATTGACGATTGACGTTTAAACACATTGACAATTAATTCATTCATCACTTTGAAAAGTGAGGTTATCTGTGTCCACAAATGATGCATTCAAAATTATGTAGAAAAAATGTAACCATTTTACTTTTGAAGCATTTTAATTATGCTATATAATAGGTCTTTACCTATGAAATTGCCGTTTTGTATGCAATAAGTGAAAGTACTTATTTTTTCAAACTTTTTTATTTCTGTTATTCGAAGTAATCACCCATGCAATCGACGCATCTTTGCCAACGCATTGGCAGTTTATTGATGCCCTTCTTGTAAAAATCAGCTGGACGGGAGGCAACAAACTCATCAAAGGCATTTTGTACTGCCTCTCGGGAATTGAATTTTTTACCCACTAAAAAGTTGTCTAAATTTTGGAAAATATATATATATACATATATACAGCTAAAACAATAATCCTCAATTCTCCGTTGATAACACTCACTTGTATTCCAAACTACAATTTTATACTATGAAGAGGTATGTCTCGATTTTCGTGTAATAAATTCTTAGTTTTTATATAAGTTTATAAATAATAATAAGGTAATCGGTAAGGTAGTACTTATTTGATGATAGATTTTAATGTAATTTATTTCCGAGACCGAGACTTGACCATCCCTATTAAAAAACTTACAGTTAAGTAAATTCAAAGAAAATTAAACTTATACTGTTCTAAAACCGTGAGACTAATAATTACATGAAACGGACATGGGACAAATTACATTGGAACAAGGATAAAAATTTACTATCGAGTCATAAATGATTGGTGATTATGACTGCGTTCAGAGTACATGAATGAGCAAATGTCACCTATTGCTTAATTTAAAAAAAGAGACAGTAGGATTAAAATCCGTAAGAGCGAAAGAAACAAGCATAACTTGATTAAATTAGTAAATAACCCATAATTGTGTAAATTACGACATACTATATACATAGTTTGATAAGGTTTTCAGTTTTCATTTTTTTCACTATAGATAGGTAATCCCTCATTTCAGTCCTGTAGTTGTTGTTCTCTTGTGTGGAGTGTAGTGTCGTAGCGATAACTTAACTTAAATTAAAACGATAAGTCGGTACAGATTTCTTTGGAAATAAATAACATTTTTATAAGGTAAGAAAATTATTATTATTTTAAGAGTCGTAAGTACCATATAAAATTTTACAAGACTATGAATAAAATTATGTTTTTTTTTAATTTTCTATGACGATGTTCTCTCAATATTTATGTGTCTTTGATTTTTGCAATTCTAATTACAAACTTAATTCCCCATCTTTTAATTGTGACTTTAGCTATTTTTCTAAATTCCTTTACTTGTCAGTCGGTTTGGTTAAGAAAGTTAGGAGTGAAAAGGTAACAAATCATACTTTGATTTGTTAAATACATATTTATAACTATGTTATATTAATTCAGATTCAGAGGAAACTATTTTTTACAATTGTAAACTGTCTCACCACAGATAAAATATTTATAAAGTAATTTAAAAATATCTTTCTAGTTTTTTTTAAAATGCTATAGTAACTGCTTAGGTAACTGATCTGATCTGAGAAATTAAAATATCTGAGCCTAATCATGAATTTTTGTGTTTACTCATCTATTTTATATTCTATACAAATAAATAAAATTGAAGTGTCTGTTTTGAAGGTTTTTTTTCATGCTCATATGGTTATTTACACAAGACCTATGCCTAAAAACCAGTTTTTTTTTGTCCGGGTTTGTCAGTTTGTTCGGGTAATCTTCTAAACAGCTAAACAGATTTTGATAATATTTAACTAGCAGGTAGCTGTCTATATAAGAATTAACTTAGGCTATCTTTCCTCAGAAAAACCATGTAAAATTTTGTCCGGTCCAGGAATCGAACCCACTAAGGCAGCACTTTTCAAATTCCACATGTATGGGTACCAGCTAGTCGACAATAAATAGATCCATGATGTGTCAGTGCCACAGTAAGATGTAATCATATTTAGTCCCCTTGAAATGGGGTGTCCTGTAAAATTCTAAAATATTGCCAACTTTTTCTGTAATAATTGTAGAGGTTTTCAAATGCTATGCCAGCATCGTATATTCTCATATGAAAAAGGAAATTAAACATTCATAATATAGTATGTTTGCACCTGTTGTTAACGCCTAGGACTTAGAATTAACAGTAAAGTTTATTCAATAATATTGTGCTCCGAATAAGCTTTTCATATAACCACTTTTTTGGTCAAACTCTCACCATAATTCAAGTGGACATCTACTGCTCATATGCAAACACTTGAATATTATATTTATTAAACCCCGATTTTAGTTGATTTGATTAACAACATTATTTCAGTGTAATGGAGTCTAGAAAAATGACTGTTTTAATAGCCTATTGTAGTTGCAGGCCGTTATGTAAGGCTATACATGCATTTTGCAGTTAAGTTTGTTCTATTGATCAATATAAATAGTACAAACATACAGTGTTAAACAAATATAAATTCTAAACATCATGCAATTGAGTCTATTTTTATAGTGTAGGTTTTATCAGTCAAACAGTATTTAATTCATCTCTTATCTGCAATGAACGTGTGACTTATAGTCAACTCACGATGATGGCTATTAAAAAAGACATACCTACACATCATGTTCTTCAAACTGTCATTAAATGACAAATCACTGCAATTTTTATTGTTTTTTATCACTGCAGATATGGTTTGAAGTATTTGAATTGTTTATTAGTATAATTTAGCTATGATATTGTTTCTAGTGCTTTAGTGTTTAGTACAGAATCCCTGAATACTAGACCAACAGGCCAGCTACTGTAACTAGCAGGCGGCAATACGGCAAGCCGTGACTTCGATTCCCACCCTTGAAAACGTATTGTAAAATTAGCTTGCTCGTTTGTTCTGTGTCTGAGTGTAATTATTAGTTGTGTATGTATTTAGAAAAAAAGCCTATTGGTCTTCCTGTTACACACTTCCGTCCCATCACGAATTCACTTCCACAGACTACAGGAAAGCTAGATGAAAGATTGTTTGAGATCAGATGGCCATGAGTGTGTATCAATTTATTATCAGACTAGTTTTTGCCCACGGCTACGCCCGCATATATGTCTGTTATCGCGGTAAAAGTAGCCTATGCTACTCGCTAATAATATAGCTTTCCATTGGTGGAAGAATTTTTAAACTCGGTTCAGTGGTTAAGGCGTGAAAGCGTTACAAACAAACAAACTCACTTTCAAATTTAAAATATAAGTATGAATGTATTTAGAAATAAAACAAGTGTGGCTTACTGCTCACAGTACTCGTATATGATGTGTAACATATGACACCTCATCTGTTGGTGAAGCTTAGAACGGCACCGTTCTCCTGTTGGTCTAATGAAATAGCGAGCGCGTTCCTGGCTTCCTGTTACACACTTCCGTCCCTTTAAGAATTCACTTCCACAGACTACAGGAGATGAAAGATTGTTTGAGATGAGACATTCGTGTGTAAGGTGTATGAAGTTATTACCATACTTATACTCAATCACAGAGTACAGTAACACTATTAGAGATACTCAGTAATTGGAAATGTCAATAGAGCTTTAGTCGTAAAATTATGACGTTGCCAGTTATTTATAATATTTGAAGCATGAGAGACGTATATTTTATGTTCTTGTTTTTACGTGTTAATTGATGTTAGTACAAAAATAATTATTCAGCAATGTTTATATTCATGTGCATAATACTAAAAACTTATTTACTGTGAACAGTAACTTTGAATATAAGTACATATACCTATATTATAGACATTAATGATAGATGTTACGTAGTTTTGCACACGGTGAATAGAATAAAATAAAGTCGCTTTTTTCTTGTACGCTTAGATCTTTTAAACTAAGCAACGGATTTTAATGCGGTTTTCACCAATAGAGAGAGTAATGCAAGAAGAAGGTTTATATATATAAGACATGCATACCATAGTAGAGAAAATCCTAGTATTTCAAAGATTTGTCGAGGGAAACATGTTTTTGTGCGCTTACATTGTAAATGCTGGCAAATCCTTACGAGATAGACCAAAATAATGTACTACGGAATTGTATATCTTGAAAAGATCTACAAAAAAGTCCGCAATGGTAAATGTCTATCTCCTAGGGATAACCCACAGTAATCATTTTTATCTTTTAAATATTACAAAAAATAATGGGTTATTTACGAAGCTATTTTAAACAATACACTTAATCCTTATCCAATTATGTGTTGTGCATTCAACGTAGGTTAAAATTGCTCTGTACAGCATATCATTAAAATGAATATTGTAGAAGATATTAGAGGTTTAAAATGCGGGAGCAAAGCGGCCGTCGCGTCGCTACATCGGGCCCCTGCCTCCGTCGCGGGTGGTAGCGGCCGGCAGGATCGGAGTGGGCCTATCAATTTTGTATATAAAGATGTCCTGTAGTACCTATAGTTCTGCAATAATAATAGTATAATTAATTACTCTACACTGTACAATGTGGTGTCACATTAGTAGTATCTACATTGCACACGTGCGAAGCCGGAGCGGATCGCGTTAAAAATAAAGAACGATGTTTATTTATAGTTTGTTGTGTTTATATAGTACTGCCGTGAGGAAAAATACAAGGAAGAATACAAAAATTCCAACGACCTATTTAGCTCTATTCTATCCTTATTTTCTCCATAACTTTATGACATGAAATGAAATTTTGGATTTTCAGAACTGCGTTACATAGGTTGTAAACAGTTATTTTAAAAGAATCATATCTTTCTTCAGTCTGGTCTGACATGCAAAATGTACCCAGCTTATGTACTGTAGATCCCCTGGTGGCCGAATTTTGAACATATTGTATTAAGTTTAATATTTTTGATTTATGCCAATAGTCAGTAGGATACTAATTCCTAATATTTGGTATATAAACTTTTGTTTTCAGGCAACGATGACTCAACAAAAGGGCTTCCAGTTCGCAATAGACCGGGGCGGCACCTTTACCGATGTGTATGCTCGTTGCCCCAGCGGCAAAGTCCGCGTGTTGAAGTTATTGTCCGTCGACCCACAGAACTATGATGATGCTCCCAGAGAAGCTATTAGGAGAATATTGCAGGAGGTAAGATACTGTAAACATGGCCTTCATTTATTATATGTCTATGTATATCGTCTGCCTCGGTGGTGCAATGGTTGTTTATGCGACTGCTGTGCTGAGGGTTTCGGGGTTCGATTCCCGGGTAGGATCAAATATTTGTTTCGAAGTATGGGTGTTCTCTATGTATAATATGTATGTATCTACAAAAACAGTATACAAGTATTCTATCAGTAAATCTAGCTTAGTTTGATACTAGATGGCGTTGTGTATAAGATGTTCAAAAATATTATTATAATTGTTATATATGTTACAATATGTTACAACCTGTACATAAAATCCGATAATTGGTTGAGCAGTTAAGGTGTGAAGACTAACACACAGATAAACAGATAGACTTAGCTTTCGTATTGTTAATATTAATTAAGATTTAAAACAAACTGAGAATTTTTACAAATGCACGGTTCGTCCTCTATGAAGAGATTTTCGAGTAATGTAGAAATATTATTAAGTACTAATAAGTAAGATAAATATAAACTTCATATTATTTATTATCAAATCAACCTTCACCAAAATAAAGAGCCGTGTATACTAGCCTTGTGATAATTATAATTAAACACAGTATGTATAAGAATAATAGGAAGACATAATATTTAGTTATTTTTGGCGCTAAAGTAACTTCCAGATAACGTAGGGTTATCATACTCAAGTATTAGGTGTTACCACTTGATAACGAACACATGGTATTCTTAAAGTGTTATTAATGTTTGCTTAGTTCTAATTTGCGTAGATTTATTAGTGATGATAATATTCAAAAACATTGTATAGTTATTTTTATTGCGCTACACTTGAAGTCAACTCGTATACTTATATAACGAATTGAGAAAGAAAACTATCGCTGCTAAGTGACCTCTATTACTTTAAGATTAAACCAAATAAAATATCTACTTCTTAGCAAACAAAAATTCAAAATTCTCAGAGAAAATATTATTGCTATAAAATTATTGATTATTTAAAAGGAGCAGTAATAAACCACGGAACGCTTTATTGTGCGTAGTCAGGCACGCACTTGACCGAATTTTGGTTCAAAGCAAAACGGCATGGTACACTCATTACTAGAAGTAACTGACTACGTTCAGCTGGGCACTGGTTAACTAGCTACATTTCAGTTCCTATACGACATGGTGCTTACAGATTATTAAAGGGTCTGCAACGTGTAGGTATGTGTATAAGTCCTTTCTAAGGAGAGGCCTATGTCCAGCAGTGGACTAGTAAAGGCTGTTGATGTGTTCTAAAGCACATTCGTTGCTTCCAAACACCAGAGTATACTTCTCGAAGGATTTTGTGCGCTGACTCAACGTCATTTGAAAGCTAAAGACTTGAACTTTAAAATACCCAGTGTACTTTTTTTTAGGCATACTAAAATTTGAAGGGTTACATAAAATCAAAAGTGGGCAAAAATGGCGATATTTGTACTTTTAGGTTAGACTATCTCAAAAATCTGACGTGATAGAGCAATTCTGCGGCTGAATTTGAATTCAGACGCAAAATCCTTCGGGAAAGTGAACTTTGGTTTCTGGGAAAGAAACTTTGCCAGTTTTTTGTTGGCCTGTTTATTTATTTTTATGTGTTACATTGAATTACTGTTTAAATACCTTTGAAGGCGTTCAATGCGGTTGCCTCCTGATCAGACCGCCAAGATCTGCATTGATTCTTAGAGGCTTCCTTTTAATTGTGCACCGACTTGCGTCTGCCATAGACCCACTTGTGACGGAACATCGCGTGGTTTTAGTCGATTCGGGTCCAACATACTTCAGCCTCAATTTCGGTGATGTGATGACGAGAAAAAAAATCGTTTCGTTACTTTTCACGGAGTGGGTAAGGTTACCGGAGCCCAAACCAACCCCTCGCCCTGATTCTGGGGGGAGGGGGGGGGAAGTCAAAAGGCGGCAACGCACTTGAGAATCTTGAATTTCATATCACAATGGGCGGCGGTAGTCACTTAACTTCAGGTCCCGTCTTCTTGTTTGCTGATAAAATATGATTTCGACTTGCAGGAAACAGGTAATGCCCTAGATAAAAACGGCAAAGTGAACGCGTCACTCATCGAATCAATACGCATGGGTACCACAGTAGCTACCAACGCGCTCCTCGAGAGGAAAGGAGCAAAGATGGCGCTGATCATCAACAAGGGGTTCAAAGATCTGCTGTACATTGGCAACCAGGCTAGACCTAATATATTTCAACTGGTGAGTACGAGCCCTGTTGTCAGTTTATAAAAATAATTTACATCAAAATGAAAAATAGGTAAAATAGTGGTGTAATTAATACACTGGAAAGACCTCATGATGAATTTTTTCCCAGTTTTTATTGTGGCAGAGTCATGCTACTACGCATTAAGCCGGCTTAATAGGAGTGATCCACGTCTTCACAGAAAACACCAACCTCAATCCTAGTAGGGGGACTAAAGGGTGAATCTTGTATCTCTTGAGTAGCAGGTATCAGGTGTACTTGCGAAATAGGTAGTCACTTACAAGTGACCAGACTTGCTTGTTTACCCTGGTAAATGGCCAAAATTTGTTTAATATATTTATTAGAGAACAGAATAGTAGTAGAAGTGAATTGAATATTCATGCATATCTTAATTTTTTCTATTGACTACAAGCTTATAGATAGATAGAAAACTTTAAATTTTAAATTAAATATTCTATTTTAATCATACCTTAATCTGTAGCTGTCTTAATGTAAAAGTTATGCTATTTATTTAAACAGAAATAGGTTTTTACCACAATAATATTTACTGTTACCAACTTTTTTTCTTAACTTCTTAACATAATATCACTGATTTCTAGAATATAAAACGGCCAGGAGTCCTATACTCTGAAGTCATTGAAGTAGACTGCCGTGTTATACCAGCTTTAGAAGACCGCTGCCAAATGGAGAGAGAAAAGAATTGGAAAGAAGTATGGGGTACCACAGGAGAGAAGATGTTGGTAATAAAAGACTTGGAGGAAGATGTTATACGAAGAGAGTTACAAGGGTTGAAGAAGAGAGGAATTGAGAGTGTAGCGGTTGTATTGGCTCATAGTTATACTTATCATGATCATGAAGTGAGAATTGGGAAGATTGCTGACGAAATAGGTTAGTGACGTTATAACGCGATGATGAAAGATAAAGAAAGAAAGGTCCCCTGTGGTGTTCTTTTTCGCCCCTAATCTATTTATATATTATATATTTTTATTGTACGACCAACTTCATTTCGGTTCATCAGTTTAGGAGTAAACACGTAACAAACAAAGAAAACAATTTATTTGTTAATTGAAGCATGATGTATCGATATGATATTTTGACATTTTTTTTTAGGTTTCAAACAAGTATCTCTATCTCACGCTGTAACATCAATGGTCCGAATAGTACCGAGAGGTTTCACAGCTTCAGCAGACGCCTACCTCACTCCTCACATTCGGGAGTACGTTAAAGGGTTTGCCGATGGCTTTACTGATGGCTTGAGGGATGGGAACGTATTGTTTATGCAATCTGATGGTGGTCTTACTCCAATGAATATGTAAGTATTTTTTTAAAGACTTTTTTGTGAAAATACTAAGGGTGGATGGGTTAGTCTCTGGTTACCTTACTCACTCGGTGAGAAGAAATGATATAATTGTTTAAACTGATCGAGCCGGCCCATTTGTGCCGACCTTTGGCTTGCCCACGACCGATATCTTATTTGTAACTTTTATAATTCTGTTCCTAGGTTCAACGGATCAAGGGCAATACTCTCTGGGCCTGCAGGAGGCGTAGTCGGTTATGCGATGACGTCATATAATAAAGAAACCGGGTTGCCTGTCATAGGTATGTTGAATCATTATAAGTTTGATCTTTTATGATTAGCGGTATATCTTCTAAAACGCACCGAAATAATTTTTAATATGTAACGTCTTTGCTCTCTCTTTCCTGCAATCTGTGGGAGCGATTTGGTAAAAAGGGACGGAAGTAAGTAACAGGATGCTAGAAAGCCCTTTCACTTCCAAAATATCTGTTATGGCAGTTGCAAGATCGAGAGTTGATCGGTACTGAATTGTCACCGAACTTTTATTACGAGAAATCGGACGTCAGGTAAATGTTAACAGTTGATTAGAAAGTTACAGAAAGAAACGTAATAATCTAGTATTATATGTTGCACCCTTAGTAATATAAAGGCATAATACACAAAAAAAAGTTTTTTTGGAAATCGCGTTTAAGGCTTCTGGTTTCTTACGCTCCAGCTTATTTTTAGAATAAAATGCTTATTATTTAAGTTATAAATGTAAAACATTTCAGATTTGTTCTTTGATAAATATACTATAAATAGCAATGAAAAAAAAATGATAATGTAAATAAATTCCATAAATTACAAGTGTTTAAAAAAAGACTTTCAAGTAGTACAAAAGAATATTTTCACTTTTGGCAATTTAGAGATCTATTATGAATTAGACCCAACAATGTACCTACTAAATTTTGTATAATATACACATAATATACTACAAATTGTTCTATATATTATAAAAAGTTTAGAACAAAACTCACCAGTTTTTTTTGCACAAACACGAATAGAACAAAGTTTTGACGGTTCGTTTTCGGAAAATATGAACATGTTACTGCTTGTGACCTTGTAGCACTAAAAACGGGAGACGAGCGGGGAGAGGCAGAAATATATTTACAGATTCATTATTATCCTTTTTTTTCTCTGTCAGTGCTAACCGGTAGAGAATTTAAGTTTTTGCTCTTAGCATTTAATAGCACATTCACAAAAAATGTTGACTTGACCCTTTATATTACTGAGGGTGCGATGTATACTATCAACATAGTTTATGTTATATTATATTTTTTTAAAGGTTTATAAAAATTCATCATCATGGTCATTATCACCAACATTACTATAAAATCTAATTCTGAAAATCTAGAATCTTATTTAGACTTTTACTTAAGAGCTGACCATCTGCTGCCCTCATTCTGACTGACTGTACTTCAGTGTCAGTTTCTTCCAGGATTCGACATGGGTGGCACTTCGACAGACGTATCCCGATATGCTGGTTCGTTGGAGCATGTCCACGAAGCTACCACAGCTGGAGTCACCATACAAGCACCTCAACTAGGTACAGTATAGAAATTATATTATAGTTTTTAACCGACTTTAAACAGGAGGAGGTTCAATGCCGCTTTTTTTTATTTGTTACCTCAGAACTCTCATTTCTTAACCGATTTTTATTTATTTATTTGAAAGGGCACACTTCTCGTTTGGTCCTATTCCAATTTGAAGAAGTTCCAAAGCTAGCATTTAGACGTTAGTCGTGTAACAACATAACCAGAGAGAACAACAGGACAGACAGTTCTAGAAGACATTGCATTGCATGACCATGACAGCTCCAATTTGACCAAAAATCTGGTGTGTAATATCTTCATAAAAAGAGATTCCAAATGCCGATAGATATAGTGTGTTTTTGCTTTGCGTCACAAGAGATTTTTTTTCATTTCTCTTACAGATATTAACACCGTAGCCGCAGGAGGTGGATCCATGCTGATGTTCAGGTCGGGGCTGCTCGTTGCAGGACCTGAGTCGGCAGGGGCAGAACCTGGCCCTGCTTGTTACAGGAAAGGCGGACCGTTGACAGTTACTGATGCTAACTTATTACTTGGTGTGTATAAAATAAATACATACCTATTGTTAGATACTTCACTTAGAAGTGGTAAAGTGCGTGAAACAGGATACGGCAAGAAAAGGAGTGGGTAGTGATCTGAGAATGTTCGAGGGGAATGGAAGAAAAATGAAACGAGTTTGCTTTAGACCACTCGACTAAAGTAAAACTTCTTGGTTATGAAAGAAAGAGAGAAAGAAAATGTGTGCTCGCACCTCTCTTTTGCCCTTACGTTAATACACGAAACGTAACTCTCTCTCTTTCTATCTTCAATAACTTATATCTCCGTCTCAACTTCCTTTCGCTCACTAGGTTCGAACACTCAACTAGATCACTCAACTAGATCACGATTTAGTCTGACCGACTTCTACTCCATTCGGGTGACAGATTAAGAATACGTAGTGTCGCAACCCGTGGGTGTTGTAAGAGCTGACTAAGGGAGCAAACTATAACCCGGCAATCTCGTGCGCGACCATCCCGCGGGGTGACAGACAGTGGCGTGGGTGAGGTAGCGCGTCATTCTAGCACACGGCTACACACGTTTCCCTTCTCCGCTACACCACCCACTACCCGCTGACATCTTGAGTACCTCGTCCACGCTACCGTCTGTCACCCCGCAGGACGGTCGCGCATGACGTTGATGGACTATAACTAGCAACACTGCAACCCGTCTGGCCAACGTGGTATAGTAAACCAAAACGTCCTTACTAAGGAGAGGCCTATGTCCAACAGTGGATTATTAAAGGCTGTTGATGTGTTATGACTCTGTCAAAATGCTTATAATTGGTTTAATGGAAAAAATGATTTAGAACAATTCTGTAAAGAGTCTTTTTTGCTGTATGTTTGTCACAGATATGTATATGTACTTGATGGAATACAAATTAATAATGTTTGATATTACAGGTCGCCTGTTGCCCGAATATTTCCCAAAGATATTCGGTCCTTCTGAAAATGAGCCACTTGATAAAGAAGCGACTGTCGCTGCGTTTAAGAAGATGACAGATGAAATTAACTCGTTTTTGAGACAAGACGGAGGGAAAGAGGTTAGTGTATAAACAATTAGTTTTTACCGCGGCTCTGCCTGCGTAAATGTCGGTTATACATCATGCACTTTTGGTGCATTGGCGGACTTAATGCCTACGGCTGCCTAGGTTGACTGGTACAACCTTTGGGCGATGCAAAGAGAACTTGAAGTAGGTGCATTTTGGTTAAAGTTTGTTTGTTGTTATAATATCAAATACGCGTACATAAACCTATTATACACTAGAACCCACACACATTATACATAAGTCCGTGTAGTGACGGATTAAGAATACAAAATGTGACTACCCCAATTCATCCCGTGGGTGTCGTAAGAGCCGACTAAGGGCACAAAACAACGCAGGAAACCAGCACTGCAAAAAGAAGGAAAACTTAGTCAGTTACACTAATCTGTGCTATATCCATTAATCTGCCGAGTTTATTTGTCTCAGGTCCATTAGACCTGTTAATAATAATAATGTTTGAAGATCTGTTTTTTTTATATTGATGTTAATTGATGCCTGATGCCTATAACACAGTAGTGGATAATATAACATGTAGTTTATGTCTCTTTCAGATGACTATGGAAGAAGTCGCAATGGGATTCCTGAACGTTGCTAATGAAGCCATGTGCAGGCCTATTAGGTTTGTTATGTATATTCATTTAGTTTTAATAGTTCTTTTCCCTGGTTTTTCGTTTCCACACAATGGGTAACATTGTATAGGATAATGGCTGGTTTTATTGACTTTAATAATAATGAAAAATTGGGTTTCATATACATTTTGGATAATATAATTCGAAGCCGAATCCACTTCCGCCGACCTATAAAAGTAAAAGTAGTATCTTTGGATGCTCAAGGTTTGTACGGTTTGGGCGACGCAGTGTCTTGCTCTCTCTGTAGTAGTCGCAGTCGATTTGTCACTTCCGGCCATCTTACGTTTTATGGACGGCAGCGATAATTCTTTTATCGCGGTCGCGTCCTTTTGCGATTAAATGATCTCACGAGAGGAGGCGGCGAAACGGATCCGGGAGTAAGAGCTCCAAGTGGTTCACCTATTTCAAGCGCATTATGGCACACCGTGTCGTTTTAGTATCGGTATGAGTCCAACATACGGCCCATCGATAGCCCCAGTGAGGTACCAAAGATAAGAGTTTCCACACGAAAAAAAAATCTGGATGTTAATGTATTTTTTAATATTTAAAACTTGTAGGGCTCTGACGACGGCCCGCGGGCACGACGCGTCTCAGCACGCGCTGGCGTGCTTCGGCGGCGCGGGCGGGCAGCACGCCTGCAGCGTCGCCAGGCAGCTCGGCGTCACCTCCGTGCTCATACACAAGTATGCCGGTGAGTTGGATATTATTGCGCCATACGATTAAATAGAATAAAACCACGTCATTGTGTACTTAGCCTAAAACAGCCAATTTAATCAACTGTTTTACTTCTTCTGCCGTTGAATTTAACAACAAATCACTTTAAAATATCAACATCGAAAAAAAAATCGAAGCAATATGTTGGAATAAATGATATTATTTGATTTTGGTGTTATTTTGTTTATTCTTGTATTACGTAAGTCTACATATAATGGTTGTATAATTTTCTTTAGGTATCCTCTCAGCGTACGGTATGGCCCTCGCACACATAGTACAAGAAGCCCAGCAGCCTGCCGCGGCTGTCTACTGCAAGGACAACTTTGAGAAACTCGACCAACAGCTGGATGTACTAGCGGCCGTCACGAGAGATAAACTTAGGAAGCAGGTATGTGTTATTGCAACCAATAAAAAAAGCCAGGATATTATATGAGGCTTATCTGGTAACCTGGTGATTAACAGTAAGTACTTAAAGAAATATAAAGTCACCCTGTCGAGAATCAAACCTCGCTCTTCAACATCTCGGTGGGCCGGTGCTTTCAACTGGCTGAACCGCTAGCGAACGGAGGAGAGTGGTTGTATAAATCTATTTTGTTTTAAAAAGGAAAATGTTTTTTGGCAGGGTATCCCCGACTCGCAGATAGTGACGGAACCATACTTACACCTGCGCTACCAAGGTACAGACTGTGCCCTGATGGTGGCGCCACTGGCCAACGACTCCCCTACAGGCTGCAAACATGGCGATTTCTATACGGCGTTTGTTAATAGGTGAACAAAATTTGAATTTAAAAAACTATAGCAGTACAACTTTTGTAATTGCTTTTAAATTTAAAAAGCATATAGAATTATGCAGAATATATTATTTTTATTTGAGTAAATATTAAATAGGCCTTTATCAACAGCCTATAATAGTCCACTGAGGTTTTGGCCTATTATACCACGCTGGCCAGACGAGTTGGTTATACCAACCCACTTGAACTTGAAACTTGAAACAAACCCTATAGGGTTTGTTTCAAGTTTTCCTTCTTTTTGCAGGGCTGTTGTCCTGTGCAGTTTGTTCCCTTAGTCGGCTCTTACGACACCCACGGGATGAATTGGGGTGGTGACATTGCGTATTCTTAATCCGTCACCACACGGCCTTCATAAAGTGCTAATCTCAGGGAACTAATACCTGAATCTTCACTGCCGTCAGTCTGTATTTCATGAGCCGCAATATGTAGAAAGTTGAAATTTACATAGGTGTGTCTTTCTATAAATTAAATAAATTTTGCATGTAAATTAATTTTCTATGTATTAAAATATTTATGCCCGAAGGATATAATAATACATATAAAATAGTATATAACAGTACAATAATATTGTAACACTTATAATGTCTACCGTTTTCCTCTCCAATGTCCAGATACAAGAACGAGTTCGGCTTCACTTTAGTGGACCGTGACGTCATAGTGGACGACGTGCGCGTGCGCGGCGTGGGGATGAGCGCGGTGCCTGAGGAAGTGGCTCCCCCTAGTGGGAAAGGAACCACACCTGTTCCTGAGAAGGCAAGTATTTTTTACAAGACAAGTATTTCATTTTGTTTAAAGTAGAACTATTCAATCAATTTATTTACCCCTCAGGCCTAGGCCAAAACCTCCTTTCTAAGGAGAGGCGTATGTTCAGCAGTGGACTATTAAATGCTGTTGATGATGATGATGATCTCAATTGAATGTTGTATAAATAGTTACATAACAATAGATCATTTCATTCTCCACAAATGTAGGTTTACTTATTAAAAAAAAACACTTAGTAAATTTGTTAATGCATTTGAAATATTTGCAGTCGGTGAAAGTATACTTCGAAGGTGGATACCAAGACACGACGATATACTTGTTGGAGAAACTGAAGCCAGAGCAGACCATCTCAGGACCTGCTATCATTATGGACAGCCTGTCTACTATACTCGTAGAACCAGGTATTGGTTTCTCCCTTTTGTAAAAAAGTACTTTTTTTTTGGAACGAAGTTCCTTATCGCGCGTTGTGAAAGGGGGCTAGACGGAAAAAATTCTTACGAAAATTAGTCACGACACTTTTTGCTATAGTAAGCTATTGTAAGCTGTGCGGCGTCGCATGTTTCTCTGTCTGTCTCTCTCTCTCTCTTATAGAAAGCAAGCCAGATATTTTCATTTCTATTTCGCATTGAACAGTGTGGTGTCGCGACGATTATTTTTGTTGAGTGTATACAGGTTTTTTGTAAATAATAAATAATAAAAAATATTATAATTCCTTCACTAATTAATCGAAAGGAACTTCGTTCCATCCGGGTGTCCCTTGACATCTCAAGTTTTTTTATAATCTTTATTGCCCCTCTTATCAGCGGTGGAGAATCTTTTTGGGGAAATTTGATGATGAGGAATTAGATTTAATAAATCTATTAACTTGTATTCCTTGTATGTTTGGTTAACCCTATGCAATGACCCCAGGTAGCTACGGATATTTTACATATGTAAGATATGTAACACATATATATACACACACAAATCAAACTGAGCTTGTACTAGGGAAATAAAGAAAGAAAGAAAATACATTTATTAGCTATTAGCTACAAGACAAAAAAGACAAAACTAAAGAAAACAATAAAACAAACACAATAACAAAACAAACAATGACCAAACAACAATATACTGTGTGACTAAAAGGCCACAGCTCAGCCTATGCTATGACACAACATTAAAGTGACCATGGGTTCTGAAACCCTGATAAACAAGCTTAAATTCATACATGTTATATATAGAACACCCAGAACAGACTGACACCCAACGCAGTAGTTTCATGCACAACGTATGTCAAAATACTTATGCTGCCTTTTTCCAACATAAAAAATATTTTCTATCAACAGTTTTACATAGTTTACTTGATAAATAGAAACGGGATATTTACCATATTTATTCAGGCGCTGTTGGCAGCACTGTGGCAAGCGCCATGATCATGGACGTACTTCGGTTTATCCATGATCATGGCGATTGTAACAGTGCCGAACTATCGGAAACCAATTCCCAGAAAATAAACATGGCAAATATCCCGTTTCTAATAACTTATGTAGGGAAAATCACTACGGTAATTTGAATCAATACATTTGTTAATTTTTTTTTAACCTAGAATTCTAAAAATGTTAAATACTCTGTTTAAATATTTGTGTGTGTTATTCCAGATTGCCGCGCCGAAATTACGAAATTTGGGGATATCCGCATTACTATTGGATCTGGTCAACCTAAACGAGTCACCACTGACCTGGACTCCATTCAACTAAGTATCTTCAGTCATCGCTTTATGTCTATAGCTGAGCAGATGGGCAGGTCAGTAAAGAACCATGACAAACAAACACAAAACAATATATCTGCAAAATGGAGTGTTTTAAAACTTCTCTTCTCGTTTTCTTTTATGGCTGTTCATCAGCACGGGGCTCGGATGAATATTCGTTCTTTTTAATTTTTTAGTTTTCTGCATTATTCACCTCTGGAAAAAAATAAATCCACCATTGGTCATTTTTCTAAAATACTCAATATTTAAATCACGACAATAATTTAAATATACATAGTTTATTTACAAAGATTATTTAAATTTTAATCATATATATTATATTATCAAGATTGTTATATTGCGGGTAATGTACGCTGAAGTAAAAAGAGCGAAGAATCACCCGCTCACTCTTGGGATCGTTTTTAGATTGGTCAGAGGAATTACCGTTTCTGATAATAAATTATTTTGACCTTGACTTTGAATCGGACCTACTTTAGTATTACCTTCACATTCGATTTAAGGTGAAGGTCGAAAATGAGATGAGATATATCACACTTTATTTTTACCTCTTAAGGGCCATCCTAATTTAGTTTTGCCGAAACTCAATCTAGAACCAACTAAAACGTAATGACTATTTACAGGGTGTTGCAGCGTACATCGATCTCGGTGAACATCAAGGAGCGTCTGGACTTCTCGTGCGCGCTGTTCGGTGCGGACGGCGGGCTCGTGTCCAACGCGCCGCACATCCCCGTGCACCTCGGCGCCATGCAGGAGACCGTGCAGTACCAGGTCAGCTGTCTTGTAACAGAACCGGGCGAGAGCTCGTGTCCAACGCGCCGCACATCCCCGTGCACCTCGGCGCCATGCAGGAGACCGTGCAGTACCAGGTCAGCTGTCTTGTAACAGAACCGGGCGAGAGCTCGTGTCCAACGCGCCGCACATCCCCGTGCACCTCGGCGCCATGCAGGAGACCGTGCAGTACCAGGTCAGCTGTCTTGTAACAGAACCGGGCGAGAGCTCGTGTCCAACGCGCCGCACATCCCCGTGCACCTCGGCGCCATGCAGGAGACCGTGCAGTACCAGGTCAGCTGTCTTGTAACAGAACCGGGCGAGAGCTCGTGTCCAACGCGCCGCACATCCCCGTGCACCTCGGCGCCATGCAGGAGACCGTGCAGTACCAGGTCAGCTGTCTTGTAACAGAACCGGGCGAGAGCTCGTGTCCAACGCGCCGCACATCCCCGTGCACCTCGGCGCCATGCAGGAGACCGTGCAGTACCAGGTCAGCTGTCTTGTAACAGAACCGGGCGAGAGCTCGTGTCCAACGCGCCGCACATCCCCGTGCACCTCGGCGCCATGCAGGAGACCGTGCAGTACCAGGTCAGCTGTCTTGTAACAGAACCGGGCGAGAGCTCGTGTCCAACGCGCCGCACATCCCCGTGCACCTCGGCGCCATGCAGGAGACCGTGCAGTACCAGGTCAGCTGTCTTGTAACAGAACCGGGCGAGAGCTCGTGTCCAACGCGCCGCACATCCCCGTGCACCTCGGCGCCATGCAGGAGACCGTGCAGTACCAGGTCAGCTGTCTTGTAACAGAACCGGGCGAGAGCTCGTGTCCAACGCGCCGCACATCCCCGTGCACCTCGGCGCCATGCAGGAGACCGTGCAGTACCAGGTCAGCTGTCTTGTAACAGAACCGGGCGAGAGCTCGTGTCCAACGCGCCGCACATCCCCGTGCACCTCGGCGCCATGCAGGAGACCGTGCAGTACCAGGTCAGCTGTCTTGTAACAGAACCGGGCGAGAGCTCGTGTCCAACGCGCCGCACATCCCCGTGCACCTCGGCGCCATGCAGGAGACCGTGCAGTACCAGGTCAGCTGTCTTGTAACAGAACCGGGCGAGAGCTCGTGTCCAACGCGCCGCACATCCCCGTGCACCTCGGCGCCATGCAGGAGACCGTGCAGTACCAGGTCACCGGTGTTTAGCAATGTTTTCGTTGCGTTTCATAAAATAACTTACCGGAGAACAAAGGCCTCCGTTTTGGTAGCACTAGTGAAAATTCAGGTGTTTCATAAGTTTTCTTTATAAATAACAGTCCGCACGCAACTCTGTAGACAATGCATTTCTTAGCTGTTATTAAAAGCCACAGTAATCTTTGTATTTAAATCTGCCTCCCTCCGTAATCTGCAGCGTTTAATAAAAAACGGGCCTGTTGGTTTAGTGGTCAGTGACCCTGACTGCTAAGCTGGAGGTCGTGAGTTCGATTCCATCCCAGGGCAAATAATTGTGTGATGAGCACGGTCATTTGTTCTGTATCTTGGTGTAATTTATCTACAATATGTATGTATTTAGAACTATATAAGTATGTTTATCAGCAGTCTCGATACCATAGTAAAGGCTCTGCCTAGTTTGAGATCAGACTGCCGTGTGTGAAATGTGTAAATTAAAAAAAAAATAGTATCTTTTAGTACTCTGTTTGTCAAGCTTTTTTTCTTCTGTTTAGGTCACTAATACTTATATTAATGAGCAAAACAGAGAATGAAAACCGTTTATTTTCCCTTTCTTCGACGGACAATGATAAACGTCCAAGTTATATACACGTAGGAAAAACAACATTACAAGTAATTCTATACCTTATGCCGCAGGAGCTAAAGTTTCTCTTGCAATAAGAGTGTGACTTATAAATTCAAACTATTATATTTATCTAACCTTTAAAACAGAATTTAATGATTTAATCGTGGCGTAATATTGTTGCGCATATTGATGACCATTTATGTCAATTAAAAATTCTTCTAAACGTGTTTTTTTGTTCCAGATGAAAGTCCGCGGCGATTCCCTGAAGCCTGGTGACGTTCTACTCGCAAATCACCCTAAAGCTGGCGGATCTCATTTACCCGATCTGACTGTGATAACTCCGGTCTTTCATAAGTAAGTCTCTTCAGTTAGCTATTAATTCAATTAATATTATTATAAATATATGTTTCCTCATCCGCTTATTGAAGAGTAGATTTTTACGGCTGTTTCGCTTGTCTAGAGGCTTCGGAAATAGTGTTATATATTTTGACATATTTATGCCCTAAATGACCGGTTGGAGGCAATATACTTGTCGCTATTAGAATAGTGGGTAAATCAGCCGTGGGAGAATCATACTGCGGCACAATTGAGCTGGCTCTACCGGAGTGACATCACCACCTTATAGAAAACCAGCGTTAACCAATTCTTTCGTTGCTTTTTACCAAATGAGTGAGGTAAGCGCCTCGCACTCGGGAGGGGGGGGGGGGGTTAAAAAAGTGGTAATGCACTTGTGACTCTTCAGTTGCAAGTGTCCCTTTTTAATTCTCCCCTCCCGAGTCAGGTGGGAAGGAGGTTTGGGGGATTAAAAAAGTGCTCCCCAAGACAACGCACTTGTGACTCTTCAGTTGCAGGTGCCCATGGGCGGTGGTAGTCACTTATCACCCGTCGTATCACTTATGAAATAAAAAAAGAAAAATCTCTGACTTAATTTTATACTATTCTCGGTGTGGTTTCTGATTACGGCTATGTGTGTATGTGTGTGTTTCTATGTATGTAATTTTTAATTGTAGGTCTAGCAACCGGCCAATATTCTTCGTGGCATCCCGCGGCCATCACGCAGACATCGGTGGTCTCACTCCAGGGTCCATGCCTCCCCACTCCGTCAGCTTGGCTCAAGAAGGAGCTGCCTTCAAGTCAATGCTGTTGGTGGACGGCGGGAATTTCAAGGAAAAGAAACTCACAGAAGGTAATAAGGGACTTAACGAGTTCTTAATTCACCCAAGTTTATACAGAACTATTTATTAATCTCTGCGAATTTCTACTTCTCAATCTCCTTTTTTTATACGAATAAATAGAACTGTAATATCTATCCTGTCTATGACTTTGTCAGAACAAAAATATGATTTTTTTAATGTTTAATTTTTATTCTTAGAACTGATGAGACCCGGCAATGAGCCAGACTGTTCCGGCACCCGTAACTTAGCTGATAACCTATCAGACTTGAAGGCACAAGTAGCAGCTAACCAAAGAGTAAGTGGCAATTTCTTTTGATGATTATAGTACTCGTAATAAGAATTGAACACGTTGTACATACTGCCCGCAGTTATTCCCGCTTATGCCAATATTTGTAATGGGTCACTGTAAGTATCTGAATTGATCTGGATATTTTTATTAAAAAAATGCAATTAAAAATAGATACCTTATAGACTAATTTGCACTTTATATTTTGGGCGCAAGAGTTGAGATTTGCTTAAACGATTTTGCGGAGTGAGTCTTCTGTACCTGTACTTCAAATATTCTGTGGCCTTACATTACGCTTTTAAGGACAAAGTTTAAACGAATTAACGTCTTATGAAAAGAATTCGGATTAAAAAACTTACACGTGATATCTTATGATGCAGGGCATTCAGCTGGTGGGTGAACTGATAGATGAGTACGGGCTTGACGTGGTCCAAGCTTACATGACACATATTCAGAAGAATGCTGAACTCGCCGTCAGGGATATGCTGAAGGTAACTAGTCGAGTCTAAGTTTTACAGAATATTTCTTTGCATATATTACTGTGTGTAATTTGTCATAACGCCGCTGCGGCATAGGTGTTTTGGTATTGATTCTAATACATGACAAAAAGTGTGAACTCCACTAATAGTAGTCCTGAGTTTTCTTCTTCTTTGTGTTCGTTTATTGAATGTTTATGAATGTATTATTTCTAGTGCTTGAGTTGTTTAAAAGCGGCGAACTAACATTATTGGCATATGATGTAACACCTGACAATTCACCTATCATCTGATGACCAATTTTAACACCTCATCACACCCTCTTTAGTCATATCATTTTTTAAATGCGCCCAATGAGACTAAGCGGCTTCTTGTTACACACATCCGTCCCTTTTTACAAAATATGTTGCGTTACAAGCCCGAACAAGGTCACCGTGACGATCCAGTAGATGTGAAATAAACAGAGAGAGCACATGTTACAAATCAATAAAAGCTAACTCCTCAAGGTAATCCCACATATCTAATACTTCTTCTTTTGCCCATTGATTGTCACGATTGTAGTCTCTTCATCTCCTGAAATTATTCTAAATAATATTTATGTGTTAGGAAATAGCAAACAATGCGCTTGTGAAAACTGGGTCAGCAGTACTCAAAGCTACTGAATATATGGATAATGGAACGCCCATTACACTCACTGTCACCTTGGATAAGGAGCAAGGCAGTGCCGTCTGCGATTTTACGTAAGTATAAAAATTTTTTTTTATCAAATTTTCGGCTAATTTCATTTACTCTTAAAAATATTTTTCTATAATGTGATTGTAATTTTAATAAATGTATAACCCGCTTTTAATTTCTTATATTTATATACTTTTTAAGTTAATAATGTAAATATATCACATACATGCATATTAAGACCTGATAGCGCATACACAATTATTTCTGGTGAATTACTTTGGCTAGTGCATAAATCAGTAACCTAAGCTCTCACTGACTTACTTATAAGAACAAGTCAATTATATACATTTACCTAATGGTTGATATTCTAATCGGCGTGAGAAATTTTCATATCCCGATACATGATTAGCAGTTAACTACTCCGTAGTTCGGTGTGTATTCGTTAGATGGCACTGTAATATCTTTTTGATTCATTCCATGTGGAAGTTGCTACAAAGTTTTAAGATTTACATAAACGTTACATTTTTTATTTTTACACGCTTTATATTAGCTTCACTTGTATGTTTGTTTGTAACCGACTCCTTTGGGCGTGATTTTGACTGACTTTAAACGGTCAGAATTCGTTCAAACTTTGTAGATATATCGAGGACCGATGACAATACACTAATTAAAAAAAAATATATTAAATATTAAAAAAAAATATTTAAAAAAACTAAAAAATACGCTTTTTATAGAAAACCAAACTAAAAAAATAGATATAATAAGCGTGTTTTTTAGTTTTTTAAAACTATTATTTTGAAGCTCTTATTCGCTGTTAGTCCTTTAAAATAAGCCTTAGGAATACCTTTTATGAATTAAAATATAGATGATGTTATTAGATATGTTTATTTTGTGGTATTTTTTATATTATGTTTGATATTTTCATTTTATTATATTACATTTTTTTTTTGTTTTTATTGTGGAAAAACATTTGGGATATTTATTTTAAAGTGGAGATGAGTCTCCTACTAATAAAATATTTTCGCAGTGTGACCAAACTTTTAATCTAGTATACTATCTGTAGGTCTTTAGAACCACAAATTTCCTTTATATGGTAATTGCAACCAAACATGTCGTTCACAGTGGAACCAAACATTTTGTCTAAAATAATAACAGTGGAAGGTTCCATGATCGGATATTGTGTCACTTCAATTGTAATTGTATCATTTTACATTGCAGTGGGACTGGTGTCGAAGTGTGGGGTAATCTGAATGCTCCTCGTGCTATCACACTTTCTGCTCTCATCTACTGTCTACGGTGCATGGTTGGACATGACGTGCCTCTGAACCAGGTAAACTAATTTTAAAGCACTAACTCCCCCTATTCCTGAGGTTAGGGGATTTAAAGGGTGGCAATGCCCTTGTGACTTGACTTGTAGGTGTCTACGGATCATCATTAGATGATCCGTCAGCTGGTTTGTCGCCTATGCCATAAAAACTATATTAGTAATAACTAACTCGCCATTCAATAAATCATTACTTTTAATTTTAGGGTTGCCTCAATCCAGTGAAAGTGATAATCCCGTCGGGTTCCATCCTGGACCCGTCCGAAGGCGCCGCTGTCGTCGGTGGCAATGTGCTCACATCACAACGTATAGTAGATGTTGTCTTAAAAGCTTTCCAGGTAATTTTTAGACAATAATACCGTTCTGAGCGTAAATACATTGCAATGTACACCCACACGCATACAAACTTACCATACATACTCACACCACTACACACATAACCGCACAAACATACACACACCCTCACACACAAAACTATTTACAGCTTATTCGTAGTAGTACAAATTTGTAAAAGATAAACGGTTTACACGTGAGTCAAACCGTTTGTCACGTTACGTACCCAACTGGGGGCCATAATAAGGGTTAAAGCCACCTTTTGCGTCACGCATGACAATGGATGATGCTTGTACATGATATTACTTGCAAAAATTGGTATTTTGATTTTCAGGTATGTGCAGCATCTCAGGGTTGCATGAACAACTTGACACTGGGCGAAAAGGACTGGGGATATTACGAAACTGTTGCTGGCGGAAGTGGAGCTGTAAGTATTTCTACATAAGGTCTAAATTTATATTAAGTCGATTTTCTAAATCTTATATCATGGTGTTTAGTTACTTGCAAAGCCTTCTATTTCTCCCCAACGGAATTAGGTATACACATGTGTGTTTATCTACGATACAATCTGTCTGTGCACCGAATTGCATGAAAATTTGTACTAAGTAGTAATAACCCCTTTTTCAACTGTCATCAGTACAACTCCTTTTTTATATAATCCTTTTACCTTATTTATACATTTTGTGAAACCAATAATTATTAATTAATCAACATTTTAATTTAATTATTTTTTTTATGAAATGACTAGGAATCAAATATTAATGACAGTATTCTCTAAATACTAAAATAGAAGTTAAATTTGTGCTAATTCTGTTCTTCTAAATGTGCTAAAATTCTCTAAACTAAACTAAAAATCAATAAAAATTAGTTTAGTCCTGTCAAACAAGGTTCCCTATTCTGAAAACGTAGTATTTAGTAGCAACACAGTTGCGATTATAATTTGTAAAATCCTATTTTTTAGTTAGAATTAGTACACTTATTGTGTTAAACAAAAAAAAAAACTACATTTATAAAATAGATATTTAAATTCATTCTATTTTGGTTAGCTGATCGCGGTACGCTAACTGATATGTCTTTAGTTAATACGTGATCACGAATAGCTAATTATATAAAGAGTGTACGTGCAATCAGTATTTAGAAAGCTTTGAATTCAAAAGACTTGACTTTCTTCTATCCGTCAGGGTCCGGGCTGGCATGGTTCGGGAGGTGTTCACACACACATGACAAACACTCGAATCACGGATGTTGAAATTGTTGAGAGGAGATATCCTATGCTTGTTACTAAGTTCTCACTGAGATCTGGATCTGGCGGCAAAGGTATTTTTTTTATATTATGGCTTTTGTAGAAAGATTATAACCTTCTAACTATCTCTCTTTACTTGTATAATAAGTGATACTGTATTCAAAGATTTTAGATGGATTTCACGGACTTTTATTGAGATTCTCAAATGGAATCTCTATTATAAAAAATATATATTTATGATTGACATATCACAAGTTTTACAATCAAGCAAGGCACAACATTAAGTTACTGTGTGGTGTTGTGTTTATCAATCAGAGGAGACATGATACTTGTTTAAAAATCTTCATTTTTGCATGTAAATATAAACAAATATATACTTTAAAAGAAAAAAACTTTTCTTTAACATTCTGAGTGTAATGACATTTAAACAGTTTTTTATTTTATCTTTTGCCTTATTCTTGAGTTATGTAAACATGTAAACTTAAGAGTTAGTTCAGTAGAGCTAAATAAAGTTGGGTCTATACTGAGATTTATTTACTGAGAAAGTCTTGTTGACGCTATTCCTACCTCCATTGGAGCTAGTATTGCCTAACAACTCCGCATCAGACAGTTTAATTTCTTCCTGGGACTTCCCGAGTGTCATAACTCGGTGTGGGTCACTACTGTGGATCCTGTACAGGAGTTACAGTGGTGGGCGTGTGGGTGGGATTACTAAAAGAAAAACTTCGCATCAGGCATCGCTTTAAAAACAAAAAACGTGAAATACGACACAACCAGTCAATAACCAGTCACTAACCAGTCAATTTGTGCACGTATAAGTTGTACAAAACTTAATAAAAACTACTTGCATTATATTTTATAATACTTTTACGTGTTCAGTTAATAAAATAATGATTAAGACTTGAAAAGCAATATTTTTGAAGGCGGTACAATAGCAAACACTATTTGTCTTCCAGGTCGTTGGCATGGCGGCGACGGCGTGTCCCGTGAGCTGGTGTTCCGCCGCAGCGTGCAACTGTCGGTGCTGACGGAGCGCAGATCCTTCCAGCCCTATGGGATGAATGGTTAGTATTTCTTTGTTTTCTACTTCTGTAGTTTTCTTTATTAATTTGGGAAGTACAAGAAACACATTCTTATAGAAAGATTTGAAGATAATAATTTGTAAACCTTTTAACAGTTTTGTGAAATGAAAAAAAATTACATTTGGAATATTTAAAATGTTACAAGTAGTTCAAATCATTAAAATATATATGTAAATTTTTACATAAATTAAAATTGAACAACACAACTATTGAAAAAGAGGGAAATTCCCGTACAACGAGTTTTTTAATATGAAGGGATAATTTTAAACAGTTCATTGATTTAACTAGTGTAAGTGCTTCGGGTTAAATTATTACTATAATAAAAATTATTGAGTGATTCAGACTTAATCTAGATGTACTTTAAAAAAGTTTTTTTTTGTTTTTTTAACATATTTCTAAAATATCCGGTAGATTTTTGAACAACGATATATTTATAGTGCTGTAGGATAATTATAAACTACTAAGAATGGTTTGTAAATTTTCTGCCATTAAAATTTAATTGTAGTATAATTTGCAAAAAAAAATATAACAGGTGGCGAACCAGGGGAGCGAGGTCTGAACTTACTTCAACGCGTGGATGGAAGGTTGATCAACCTCGGGGGTAAAGCTTCGATACATGCATATCCTGGAGTAAGTGGAAATAATAACAGTAATGTCAAGTTACTATTATTATTATACTATGTTTACCATTAGTTACACCATACGGCTACACAAATGCTAATAAACAGATAAATATTCCATTGAAATGTTCATCAATCATCAACATCATCTGCAGCCTCTAATAGTCCACTGCTGGACATAGGCCTTAAAAAGGAAGTTTTGGTCTATTATACCACGCTGGCCAGATGGGTAGGTATGGAGTGCTGTTGTCCTGCGTAGTTTATTTCCTTAGTAAAATGGGATGGATAGGGGTGAGTACACTCCGTATTCTTAATCCGTCACCACACGGACATGTTAAAGTAATAATAATTTGAAACATGGCGGAGAGTATTTTCAAGTCTGTATAGGAACGGGTGTTATGTCTCTCTAACACAAAGGGAAGATCCTCCGATCAGACGAGTACATCATCCCTGGCGGGCCGCGGCCAATGGTTTGCCTTTTTCGAAGTTGTCAACATAATTGCAACTTTTCATATCGCGATACAGGATTAGTAGTTACTCGGGTAGTTCGGCGTATCTTCATTAGATGGCACTGAAGTATATTTCTTTTTTTTGTTTTATTGTATGTGAACACACTAGTCTCCTTACCTACACTCTGCCTCTACTCGAACTAAGCATATAAAGGGTTTTAGTACACAGATATACTCATTAGAAACAATTATTTTGTAAATACATAGATATTACACAGAGAAAATCCTCGACAAATGGAAATAGATGTATTTTGCTCAGCGGGAATGCGAATGAACGTGTGCCCCTCGATAGCAATCAATCGCACTAGCGTAATATTTTATACCTTATTTTTTTTGCAGGATAAATATATCATGAACTCCCCTAGCGGTGGTGGCTATGGCCTTCCTACCGACGCCAAAGACACAACTGAACACAGAAGACAAGAGCGCAGCGAGTTTCTAGAAAGAGGCAGCGTGTTCGAATACCGTAGCGCACAAGAATCTGTCTAGAACTTGAAGGAAAACTGACAAACCTTACAGCTACTTTCTAGAAGTCCCTACTCTGTAAAATTTCAAAAGCCAAATTATTTCTAACTCTTTCAAGCATAATAATTTTTATAACTTATTTTCATAGTTATACAGATGTAGTTATAATGTGTATTTTGGGTCGATTCGATGCGAAGTACCGAAGCGACCGGTCGCTTCTTGTCACAGAACCCCTGTTGGGTCTGAAGTTATGTTGTGAATGTGAATACATTCGCAGTTAGTACAAGTACATAACGTTTTTACTTGTCTATTTACTATTTATAATATTTTAATTTAAATATCTACAATATTGTAAAACCAGTCAAATCATTTATCTTGTTATTTTTTTATTAATTTTATTTTATGTATGTACAGTTAAACTGTAAGGTTTAATTTAAACATACACTAATTAAGTACAAGTAATCGTTTATTAAGTTTATTCTAATTGTTGTAACAGAAATTTTATTTTAGAAAAAATAGTAAATTTGATGTAAGACATGAAGTTATAAACTTAAAAATATATATGTATTACATTAAAAAGTATATAAAATCTATAGTTCTGTCTGTTTGGTGACTAGTATATAGACACCATGGAATATGATATCAAACAAGTACAGGGTGTAAGGGACATTATAACGTATACTGAAATAGTATGTTCAGACCATCATTCTGAGTCGAAATTCATTAGAATTTTCTGCTGGAAAATTAAAAGTTTTATGCAATTAGCTGTCAAAGGTTAAGGTCATTTTCCGTAAGTATCGCACAAAAGTATTAACTACATTTGTACTCAAAACGCACACTAACACAAGTTGGCTTCTGCTATTTGATTAATAACCTTGCAGTTTTTGACCGTTTGCGGTATTTGTTACATTTAGTAAAATGTTGTTTACTCATTGTAATATTATTTTTAAATAAAAGAATGGAATATTATAAAAAAAATGATGAATTTTCCGGAGAAAATTCCAATGATTTTCGACTCAGAATGATGGTCTGAATTCGTTACGACAGGTCCCTTCCTGTATAAAACACTATGCAATTATATATCTATCTCAGTTATATATCTCACGTACGCAGGCCAATAGTGTATTTTTTTTCAATTTTGTTTTTTTCTTAGTGCCATTTTTCTTTCATTAGAACTGTTAAATTACGTTGTACAGCAACAGATTTTTTTTAAATCTTAGTCAGGCCTCGGTGCATAGGATTGTAAGTACAACCTTATTGTATAAGTAGATGGATGTTTGTGCTAAATCAGGTCAGAAAGGCTGAGCGTCTGGATGAATTTTTGCCTTAGCTGCACACTGTCTAAAAGTATGTAGCTTGTGTAATTGACTGCACGGATGGCGTAGTGCTTTAAGCGCTCACCTCGCCACTTCCTACTGGGACAACACTTTATGTGATCCACAAATTGTTGTTCTCGGTCTGGGTGTCCTTTGTGTCCGTTTAATTTATATTTGTTAAGTCCCCCGCGACACAATATTTATGAGTCTTTTACTATTTACAAAGAATAAACTTCTGATCAGTTTCGAGACTTTACATAGGGAATGTGCATGTTTATTTTTTATGGAGTAGGGGCAACCGAGCAGACGGGTCACCTCATGGAAAGCGACTTCCGCCGCCCATTAACGCCTGCAACTCAGGAGTCACAAACGCATTGCCAGCCTTAAGGTATATAAATATATATGCATGTATAAATATGCCATTTAGTGAGATTTCTGTTGTGATATTTGTATTTCAATATATTATAAGCTTTAATAACTTGAATAATGTCACTTTATATACACTGTTGTTTAATTGTTAACAGTATTTTGAGATGTTATATAATCTATGCTTTGTTGTTATATGTACATATATTTTGTGTTCATATTGTTGTCCAAATAAAAATTTATTGATTAAATCTCACTTTTATTTGTTTTCTGCTGCTTTTTTTACTATTCCCAGATACTGGTGTTATTCTTATTAATGACAAGCGCGAAGAATTAAAGCAGACTAAAATATAAGTTAAAAAAATCAGAATATAAGCCACCTCTTGTTATTGCATAGCATAATGACTAATAACTTTAAATGAGCAGTTCTTGTATATGTATAATTTGAATCTAGGAAAAGGTTCCAACGATTTTCATGATTTAGTATGTAGGGGGTTTCGGGGGCGATTAATTGATCTAGCTAGGTTTCATTTTTAGAAAGCTTACAAAAAAAAAACCGAACAAAGCTCAGTCATCCAGGTAATGTATTGTACATGTATTATAAATAAGAGTCGCCAATACCAATCCAAATAGGCAGCTATGCATACAAATCAATACCGATGCGGCGGCATCCAAAGCGAGATGACTATCGACCAACGCGCACTGCGAATTAGCTCTGCTCGATGACCCAGTTACATATTTATTAATACATTGTTTTTATACACCGCTTTACTGCTCTATACCCAGTCACTTTGTTTCAGAGCTTGGCTGTTTTCTATGTATAATATTACAAACATATAAGTATTCTATTATTCAATCTAACTTTCATAGAACAAGCTCTGCTTATTTTCAAACTAGATAGCGCTGTGTCAAATGTTCGAAATATTATATGCCACTGGAATCAATATCCGCACATCACAACACTAGTACGGAGTTGTCAAACACAATTTCTTGCTTTTACTTAGCTATTGATTGTCTCTGGTGTGTTGAAGCGACAGTAGTGAGTTTTTAGGTTATTTTCTGAATTTTGGCATATAATTTCATATTGTGCTTTCGTAATAGTGTTTGTGTGGTTCTGTGGCAGGAATAATCCTTAACAAGGTTAGTGAATATTAACAACCGCGCTCATTTCTACGGAAATGAGCGCGGAAGACCCCCCTGATGGGGGCGGTGTGTTACCCCCCGATAAACCCAAAGCTATAAAGCGACAATCGGACTCAGTCTTTCCCGTTGACTTCGATGGAAAGAAAATACGTTCACCAGCTGAATCGATTCAGTCAATTTTCTCAAAACCTGGATTTGAGTCTGATTCCAGGCTCGAATACTCGGTATCAGACAAGGGTCCATATTCTGTGTATGTTTCTAGGCTTGAACCTGATCCATCATCCGGCCTGTCCCTTAAGGCACTCAAACTCGCCCAGTTCTTATACAAAAACAAAATACCTGATATTGTAGAGGGAACCATTAAAAATATGGGTCGTAACAAAGTCTGTGTGGAATTTGTGTCCGCTATCTCAGCGAATAATTTTGTTAACTCCCCAATTGTCAGACAATATAACTATGTGGCAAATATTCCTCGCTTCCAAGTATTTCGTATGGGTGTTGTTAGGGATATCCCTACTGAGTGGACTCTAGAGGAACTAGTATCTGGAATATCTGTCCCTAAGAATTGTGGTGAAGTTGTTCGAGCTAGACGTCTTAATGTTAAGAATAAAAAAGATGGAGTATCCGTTTGGGTCCCATCGAACTCTGTGGTCCTAACTTTTCTAGGACAGAGTCTGCCAGAAAAAATTTTTTGTTTTAATGCGTCATTGCCAGTGTCGCTTTACCAGTTACCTACCATACAATGTAGGAATTGTTGTCGGTTCGGCCACATTGCCAAACAATGTAGGTCCCAGCCCCGCTGCTATAAATGTGCTCAGCCGCATTCTGGTGACTCCTGCCTGGTTCCTGACTCGGAGATATCTTGTTTTTTATGTCATGGTGGTAGCCATTGTGCTACTGATAACAGATGTCCCGAACACAACAGACAAAAATCCATCAAAAGTGTCATGTCTCAGGAAAACCTCAGCTATATGGAAGCATCAGCTAGATTTCCACAGTTTGCCAAGCGGCTATATTCTGAGGCTGCTGCCAGTCCCAAATCCCCTGCTAATTTCCCTCTAAACCCTCAAACTCATCCATCCATCATACCTCTCCCATCTGCTTCTCCCTCTAAATCATACAAAAAAACAGTTAACCTTCCCCCTCGCCGTATATCTATGTCTGGGAAGACATATGATATTCATGCCCATAATACAATTACTCAGTCCCCAACTTCTATCCACCCTAATGGTTGTTGTCTTATCCCCCCTACTGAAACAACTCCTCTTGCTACTCCTAATGACAATCTTGTACAGCTCCTTCTTTGCTCTTTAATTAACATGCTGTCTAAAATGTCAGATGCCTTACCGTACGACGTTGCAGTTCTTGTTGAACAACTACTTTCTGTTATCACAAAAAATAATGCTTCCAATGGCTCTCCAGGTCCTGCAATGGAACTGTAGGAGTATCCGACGTAACAAACAAGATATCTCTTACTTGATCAATCAACATAAACCTGTTGTTTTTGCAGTTTCCGAAACGTGGTTAAAGCCTGAATTCCATTTTAGAATTCCTGGTTTCTCTTGTCTTCGGGATGATAGAAGTGATGGTTATGCTGGTTGTGCCTTATTGGTCAATAGGAATATTACATTCTCTCTAATCTTATTACCAAACCACTCTCTTGGCTTAAATATAGTGGCCCTCAGAGCTTTTAATGTTTCCTTTGTCTCTGTCTATATTCCCCATCCCAACACAAGCATTCTTCTTGAATTAAAAACAATTCTTTCAACTATCCCCTCCCCTATGATTGTTTTAGGAGACTTTAACTGCCGTCACACTCTATGGGGATCTCACTGTATTGACTCATGCTCCTCTGTCTTACTTGACGTTATGGATGATTGCAACTTGTGCATCCTTAATGATGGATCCGCAACTCGTAGAGTTTCTCCATGCCAAAATATTAGTGTTCCAGATTTAACACTATCTTCTCCTTCCCTAGTCTCCCTCCTATCCTGGTCCCCCCTGCCAAACTCCCTTGGTAGTGATCACTTCCCTATTTTAATTTCATACTTCCCCTCTACTTCATATGTTCCCCCAACCCTACAACCCCTCCTCAAATACAGAGTTTCCCAAGCCAATTGGGAGCAATTTGCAACATCTCTAGATCAAAATTTAACCACTCTCCCTCAAACAAATTCCTTTAATTTTCTTGTCCTCTATGACCAATTTATCTCTGCAATTAACTCAGCTGCTGATTGCTCTATTCCCCTCAAACTTCCTTCCAATAAATTGACTGCTTCTCCCCCTTGGTGGGATTCTGAATGTACTGCCAGTGTTAAGAAGCGCAGGGAGGCTGAGAACAAATTTGCTGCATCCCTTTCTATGTCGGATTTCCTCAATTTCAAAAAAATTGCTGCTAGCACAACTAGACTTCTTTCTGCTAAAAAATCTTTAGGTTGGCGTTCATTTTGTGAGTCCTTATCTCCTCGCTCTAGTCTCTCACTTGTCTGGAAAAAATTCAAGTCATTCCGAAAAAGTCTTGACGTAACAAATATCTCTAGCAATGACCCTTATTCATTCCTGCACGACTTCCTTAGCCAACTGGCTCCTCCATATGCTCCAGGTTTCGATTGTTTCCCACCTGCCTATCCGTTTATTCCAGATTCCTCTCAAAATACCATGGATGATCCCTTCTCTTTCACAGAACTATCCTTTGCTCTAGATAATCTTCATGATTCCTCTCCCGGCATTGACGGTATCCCTTACTCTTTTATTCGTAAATCCTCCAATTCTTCCAAAATTTTCTTCCTCAGTATCCTCAATGCCATCTTTTATTATGGTCAAATACCTGAATCTTGGAAGACCCAAATTGTCATTCCTGTTCTGAAACCTGATAGAGATCCCAGAAATTCGTCTTCCTATCGCCCTATTGCGCTCTCCTCAGTACTAGCTAAAATAATGGAAACCTTAATTAAATTCAGACTCGAATGGTTTCTAGAACACAACGAATTGTTAGCCAAAAACCAGTATGGCTTTAGAAAAGGTTTAGGCACTTTAGATAGCCTCAGCATCCTCTCCTCTGAAATTCGCCTTGCATTTTCTCGTAACGAGAATGTAATCGGTGTTTTCTTGGACATCTCTGCAGCCTATGACAATGTACATCTTCCTCTTCTCAGGCAGAAAATGCTACATCTGAGTATTCCAGCGAGGATGGTTCACGTCATCTGCAATATGCTCATGTGTCGTACTATCTCTATTCGTCATCAAGGTTCTTTTCTCCCTCCTCGTCTTGTATGGAAGGGCCTTCCGCAGGGTTCAGTGCTTAGTCCCATTCTTTATAATATTTATACTTTCGACCTAGACCAGTCTGTCAGTTCTTTTTGTAAAGTCCTTCAATATGCTGATGATGTTGCCATATATTTTTCGTCATCCTCCTTCTCTACTGCCACTTCCCGTTTGAATTCCGCTCTGTATTATTTAAACGTTTGGCTATTGGACCACAATCTTTCTCTGTCTGTTTCTAAATGTAGTGCTCTTGTTTTCTCTCGCAAACGTAATATCCCTGATATCAACCTTTCTGTAGCAGGCGAACTAATTCCAATAAAAGATTCCATAAAGTTTTTAGGCCTCATTCTTGATTCTAAATTATCTGGTATTCACCATCTAAACCATGTTATTAAAAAGAGCGAGGGGGGTGTGAACGTTATGCGGGCCTTATCTGGGGTTCGCTGGGGCTCTCACCCCTTTTGCCAAAAACTTTTGTACAATGCCATAGTTCGGAGTCACTTTGATTATGGTTCTTTCCTTCTGGAACCATGTAATAGAGGTGCTCTGTCTAAGCTTCAGCTGATCCAGTCTAAGTGCCTTCGAATCATAACTGGTGCTATGAAATGCTCTCCAGTGAATGCCCTCCAAGTCGAATGCTTGGAACCTCCCCTTCATCTTCGCCGCCAATTCTTAGCTGACAGATACTTCTTTAATGCAGTCCAAATTAATTCCCATCCCCTTCTTCCAATTCTGTCTCAACTTTCTAGTCTGACCACTATCTCATTGTACTGGAGACACAAGTCTATCCCTTTGCTCCTTAATTCCTTTATTAAAATGAAAAATCTATCTGATCCTATCTTTCAATCTTCTTTAAATCCTCTTTTTGAGCTCGACTATAATGCGTTAACCTTCCTACCAAAAATCATCCTTGACTTTGGCATCAATAAACATTCTCCGGCAGCCAACCAAAACTTTCTCCACATCATTGCGGAGGATTGGTCTGATTGGGTTACGCTTTATACAGATGCATCAAAACTTTCTTCAGATGCCTTTGTTGGTTCTGCAGTTTGGATTCCCAAATTTAAAATTATACTAAGTTATAAATGCTCTTCCTACAACTCTATCTTTTCAGGAGAATCTATTGCCTTATTAGAAGCGGTCTCCTATGTGGAATCTCATAAGCTTGATAAGTCCCTTATTTTGTCAGACTCCTTGAGCTGCCTACAAGATCTTTTAAAAAATCCTTTCAAAGCTCGCAATAATTTCCCTATAATTCTTAAAATTAAAGAGGTTCTTCACAGATGCCTATTGTCTGGTATTGAAGTAGTTCTAGCATGGATCCCCAGTCATTCAGGTATAGCAGGCAATGAAACTGCGGACTCCTGCTCCAAAATAGCAGCTCAGACCGGATGCGCTAGCCACAAATTCTGCTTCGCCCGAGATCTGCGCTCCCTAGCCAAACTTTCATTGACTGAGTCCTGGAATAACACATGGCAAAGCAGTAGAATGATCAAGGGTAAATTTTACGGCTCTCTACAACCCTTAATTCCTGCTAGATCCTGGTTCTTCAAACAAAAACATGTTAATAAGTCAGCCACCTCTACTATAATTCGTTTACGATTAGGATTTGTCAGTACCCCAGTTTTTCTTGCCAAAATTCGAGTTCGTGATCACTCTCTATGTGAGTGTGGTCTCGATGAAGGCACTCTGGAACATATTTTCTTTTCTTGTCCTAAATTGGTCGTACCTCTGTATGATCTACTCCCTCAACAAATATCCCGACCCGTTAATTTGGCTTATCTATTAACTCTAGTATATACCCCATTTGTCAGGATCCTTTACCATTTCATTCGTATAAATAAAATAAATTTATAAAGTTTCCTAATACCTTTACTGCTATATTTTTTTCTACTGTCCTTTTTCTTTTTTCTCTACTGTCCCACAGAACCACAAACAGAAACTATTAAAATCACAACAATTCCCTTTTGGTATTCAAAATATTTTCAACCTATTAACTAATAAATCTACCTCCCACCTAGACATTGGCAAAATCATCGACATCCGATGGAGCCACTGAATTAAAGGAAGAAGAAGAAGAAGTACTTAGCTATTACGTTTTTTTTATAATTTACACCGAGCGAAAATCGAACCCGCAGCCTCAACCCTTGAAATGGTAGTCCAGTGCACTACCGCCGTGTAGAGCAAAGGATCAGTCCGAGTGACTTAATTTCCATTGGGGCCTAATTTTTAGGGTGTGCTGCAGACAAAGAGATGGGGAACTATCCACAGATATTAAATAACACATAATTTTTTACAGATCACAACTGTTTATTTTTGGTACATTACATATGTGAATGAGCTCTGGTTAGATCTTAATTATTTGATAATGAATTTGATTCACGAGTATATAATAAATTAAATAAACAAACAGACTGAGGAAAATTTTAGATCGACAAAACTTGTTTTTTGTTTAGTGGATTTTTATTTAATTGTTTATTCCATGCAGTGCCCAAAAATAAAGGATGTTTATATAAACAGCATGATCTTCATATCCAAGTGATGGTGAATTCTGAAGCCTCATGTCTTATCATCAGAAGAACTTTCTTTGTTAGCAGATCTTTCCGCATGTGCCTTGGCGTCTTCTATAGCAACTTTAAACACCAACTTATCATGTTTATATGCAGCAAAGGCCAAGTCAATTATCACCTCATCCACATTTCCTTTTCTCCTAGCTCTTTGCAACTGGCGCCGAGACGCTATAGTGTTGTTTCTGAACTGCCGAAGTTCTTCTGACCACCAAGGCGGCTGTTCACGACACTTCTGGCGCTTCGCTGAAGGCTCTCCTTCAGTATCAGATGATATATCTAGCAATTTAGCCCACTGCTCACTTTGTTCATTGTTTGTTTTATTTAAATTTGATTCCATACTATTCCCACGAGAATGAGTTGCAAATAAAAGTCCGTCAGGGCAGTGGCCTCATACCCTGATAACCCTATATACACCTGGGGGGCGGGAGAACCCCAGGGGTGGCCGCTAGTGACTGGTTTACCCTCCAGCCGCTCAAAATAGAGCAAACTTCAGTCACGCTTGGTCTTGAAGACGCCTCAACTGAAGAAATTAGGGGTTTTTAAGGAGGTTTTCTCCTTGTGGTCCGGTCAGTTAAGACAAGACCACCATTCTTTATACTACACTACACTGTGTCTTCTTCACATAAGCTATATCAACTTCATTTGTGTTATTCATACACTGCGGAATATTTGATGTTAAACATCTATTGGCGCGTTTTGACAGTAAAACCGCCTCAAGGACGACCATTGTCTTATGTCTTACTTCTTGTATGAGATGAATATATCGTATCTTTCTAGTCTGGAGATACAAAACCATCAAGTATATTGATGGTTTTATATCTTGTTTACAAACTTTGTTTTCAACTTTAATGTTTCACATCTTCAGGTTGTTCCATGAAAATCGTCACTAACTAGTTTTCCTAAACCAATGTTGACACGTCTCAACGCAGGAAAGGCGTCGGTCAGAATGGGAAGAAGAATCACGTCACCATATTCTGAATTCATAAAGTTCCGCACACGCGATTATCAAAGACACTTAAATTCACTTTTTTCTGATTATACAGTCCACTACTTGCATTTTCATTCAGACAGTATTTGCCACAACTAAAACTTATCACCCTTTATTTATATCGTCTATTAACGTCAAATATCACACCTTCATAACATCACAATCACAGTTTAAACTTGTCCGTATTAAACTCAAGTTCATGTGTTTGTCAGGCATGATCACCAGCCGCTGCAAGAGCTTCCCTGTTCTCGTAAGCCCAGAAGCCATGCAGTTCCAGCAGTATAGACACAGCGGTGTGGCCGTGTCCACTACGGATGAGGTCTTGAAGGGTGATTCTAGAAGGATTTTCCGGTCTTATCATGTCGAAAATTTCATCTTTGACGTCGTCGAAGTTGACAGGTTCAGCGCCGTGAGCCACCATCTGATCTTGGATTGCCTGATGAAATAATATATTGATGTTTATTTAGAAGCACCGTACATGTTTTTTTTTAAACAGTAATGGTTGGCATTTTATTAGGCATCATAATTTAACTGTTGTTAAAAAATGATTTTTGTTATTCCTAATTGACTAATTTTATGACCCTGTATTTCCGAATCACCAAAGAAAGTCCTTATCTGTCACAGCCAATTCGTTGCAAATCTATTTATCAAGTTAAAATTTGGTACACATCAATTGCTGTGATCAAAACACAGAAGTACATCAGATGAAAAAATGCATACTGTATCGTTAGACATATGAAAGAATTTGTTGTTAGAAAACTACAGTATAGCAAATAGCCAACATGTATAAAGTTATAATAAAATGACAAATACCTTAAAGAAATAATTCAAGGTGAACGCGTCGAGATATCCCACAGAGTTGATATCGAGTACTCTGAAGAGATAGGCCAGCGCGGCCGGTTGCTTCCTGTTCTCCAGGGCCAGCACAAGATCCAGGTAAGTTTTGTAGTCCATTTCTCCGTCGTAGGTCAGGCACTGTTGGAAAACGCGCTGAAGAAATGCACGGGTTAGAGTGCCTGAGCCATAACTGTGAATAAAAGGTTAGGTTTTTTTACATTGTTTGTACATGTGTTTACCAAAGTGAACGTTATAACTGACTCTGCAACATGTAACGCAACAAAAACACTAGTGTCTGCATCTCGGCGCTCGTTACGCTACTACTACGCGTTCATCATCATCATCATCATCAACGGCCTTTAGCCATCCATTGCTGGACATGGGCCTCTCCTTCTCTTTGCAGTGTTGTTGTCCTGCGTAGTTTCCTCCCTTAGTCGGCTCTTGCGACACCCACGGGATGAATAGGGGTGGTGACACTCCATATTCTTAAACTGTCACCGACGCTACTTTATGTCAAATAAATTAGTCTGAACGACGGCAGTCCAGTCTGGGGCCTGAACTAACGCCGTGAGACGCTTAGCTCACATATCTTAACAAAGTCCTCTGTCAGGCGATGGTCCAGCATTAAGTAAAATTGGTTAATTGACAAAACGTTGGGTTGTCATTATTATATCGACACTTGGGGGTTCATTATGCCTTGTACCGGACTAGCTGCTTCATGGTTACTTCAAGAAGTAACATTAAGTAGGTAACTTAATGTTACTTCTAGAAGTAACTTTCTAATGGGGGAACAAAAATCCATTTAGTAGTTTTAGTCTTCAGTGATTACAAACAAAAAAATCTTCCTTCTCAACAATATTACAGTAACCATAATACAGCTACTTCCTGTTTTCTCTGCAGCACACAATGGTTGACTGGTAGAGAATGCCTTAGGCCCTAAGTCCGCCAATGCACGAAATATGCATGCATAAATAAATAAATATATATGCATAAATAAATAAATAAATATTACGACGATAATAACAATTATTATTTTTAAATTCCTCGTGATTCATGTGCCTTACCCAGCAAGTTCATTGATGCTGAGCATGCCGTTGTGGTCTCTGTCAAGGTTGAGGTACTGGCCGTACACTCGCAGCGCTGAAGCCGCACTGAACCAGTTCTGCTCCTGTAACTCCATTGGAAGGTCTTCTTCGCGAAGCTAAGGGATGAATAGCAAATAATGTTATAAAGTAACGATTAGATACATGGCATGGTCTGTTGTAGAAGCGATAATAAGGGCTCATGTAATTATTCCTATACGAAAAACGTTATATTCTAAGTCATTTTACGTAACGGAATATGAAGTAACCAATGCCAATTGTATCTTATATATAAAATTATCGTGTCACAATGTTAGTTACCATACTCCTCCGAAATGGCTGGACCGATTTTTATGAAATTTTGTGTGCACATAGGGTAGGTCTGAGAATCGGTCAACATCTATTTTTCATACCCCTAAGTGACAAGGGTGACCCACACCTAATTTTTTTTTCAATATTTCCTAGAAATAATGTATATGGCAAAACAACGTTTGCCGGGTCAGCTAGTTTAAATATAATATACGGCAGCAATATGGTGGCGAGTGAATGAAATTGTAATTGGGATCAAACTTGATGAGATAAAAAGACAGATTTATTAATTCTCACCTCAAGTAGATCATCAAGGAAGGAGCAAGACAGGACATCCCTTATTCTCACCCTGCCCACGCGTAGTGGATCTAGGAAGAACAGGAACTTCCTAGCTGCTGTACATACGTAGAATGAACTGAAGGATGAATCCAGACCGTCGAGGGCTGCCAGGGAGGGTACTAACTCAGCTATGTAGCTTTCCAAGTCCTAAAAGAAAATTTAGGTAAAATTGTATGTGGTTTTTAATAATTTTTATTGCTAAATGTGGGGAAGAAAAAAGTTTACTCCATTTTTAAGTAAAATTTTTACAAATTAGTTTAAATGCAAGATCACAGAATAAAAAATTTTTGAAGTTTTTCTTTTTGTTCCACATTTCAAGACGTTCTTGAGTATGGAGGAGTATGAAAAACATTTACTGAAAGAATTCAGCAAGTGACACTTTTCAAAAAAGCATAATATAATAAATTAAATTTTATTTTTTACGTAAAAATTGGGTTTTTTGTGTAAAAAACATGACCGAAAAATATGATGAAAAATATTTTTTCATGTACTTACTCCTAAAGATTAGAATATATTATATGGTATAGTCCATCTTAATGTTGCCCCTAAACGTTTATTTTCTCCTTTTTGTATTCTATACAGTCTATTTTTTTTAATTATAAAATTTACGAAATAAATTATTAATAAATCTATCTATCTTTAATATTCCAAATGCAAATAGATTTATAAAATATAATCTCTGTACTCACATGTTCAGTAAGATACCCTTGGCCAGTGACATCATATAGAGATAATCCAATCCTTGTCTGCTGCAGCCATACACGACGCATCACATAGTTGAATAGTGAGACGGCGCGAACACGTCCTATTCCTCCTTCAGCTGCCTGGAGTCGGCCGAAGACTTCTGCTGTGAAGTATGGCCTAACAGAAAGAATGTATGTTTAGTCAACTACTTAAAAAGCTGTATCTACTTTAGTGTAAGGAGTGTGTAAGAAACCAAGTTGATTTCAATATGGATTGGTTTTAAAATTAAAAAGGTTTTTACCCGGGCAGATGGGTTACCTGACAGTGACTACCATTGTTCAACCTCTAAGTCATCATCATCAACAACCTCAAATTGTCTACTGCTGGACATAGGAAAGGAGGTTTTGTCCTATTATACCACGCTGGCCAGATGGGTTGTTATAGGGTCTATGTCAAGTTTTCCTTCTCTTCACAGTGCCCTCAGTCTGCTCTTACGACACTCAAGGGATCAATAGGGATAAATAGGGGTGGTGACACTCCATAGTTTTAATCAGTAAACACACGGATATTCTCTAGACTCTGATTGCCCCCTTAAAATTAAGGGTAAGGGGTTCGAGCCTTTTGTAACCTCACTCATATAGTGAAAAGCAAATAAAGAATTGATTAACACTGGTTTTCTATAAGACTGCGGTTCTCCAACGGTAGGTGTATAAATACATAATAAATATAACAGTACTAGCTGACCTGGCAAACTTCAAATGAATAAATTTTGTGACATACCGACAGCAGTGCCACCTACCGGGTGGCACTGCTGTCACACAAAATTTCATACTTTTCATAAAACAATTTTATTTAAACATGGCAGGTAAGATATTTTAAGATGTTGCATATTTATTATGTTACCTATTATAATTATGGCCTTGATGTTGCCATTTCTTTTTAAATTTAATTTCAGACATATAGGCAGAGCCAGAGCAGGCTCTAATGAAGCAGAATCGGGAAGAATATATAAAAGAGATATTAAGAAATTATTCATCATCATCTTCAAAACCATCAGCCTGTTTGGTTAGTGGTTAGGGACCCTGACTGCTAAGCCGGAGGTTGTGGGTTCGATTCCCACCCCGGATAGATAATAGTGTGGTGTATGTTTACATAAATAAGTATGTTTATCAGCAGTCTGGTTACCATAGCACAGTCTCTGACTAGTTTAGAATCAGATGATGAGATGTGTAACGTTATATTTATGAGTGCAGTCATGCTAGACATACTTATATCAATCCTCGGTTTCCAACCCTCTCCTACCTAGGGTGGTGATTATGGTCAAATTCTACAAAATGGAAATGGTACTAGAGAACTTATGATTGTAACTACTTTTATTTTTAACCTCAGTGGTAGTCACATACAATCTGATAACTCATTTACATGTGTGCTTCCAATACAAAAAAAAAAACAATTAGGTAAATTACTAGGTTTAAAATGAATTATTTCACCTGCATCATTAATTGTAACATCTTAAAGTAGAGCCTGAATTGTACTACATTTTCAATTAATCTTTTTATTGGTTTGATATCTTTGTATCAACATCAAAAAAACTCCCGCATTCAGGGGGGACCCAGAATAACAATATGTGTGGTAGGGATTGAACCCACAACACTCAGCATAGTAGAAAGCGGTGTGGCAACCGCTTTAACAACTGCATGCAGTCAAATAAATATAAATTATTTGACAATAGCTAGGTATCATGTCACATAATAGTATTTGATTCAAAAATGTACTGCATCTAGCGTTTTGACATTTAAAAAAGATACTTTGACTGGACAGTCATCTTCTCGCTTGTATTCATATCAACACCACATTAAATTGAATTACAGAATGCCTATGATGACCTTGGATACATTCTTTTATGCATTACAATGTGTCTTGTCAATAAACTTACTTATATTTAGGTCCAGCCTCTTCCCTTAATTTCCTAAATTGTATGTAATCAATAATCAACTCATCGTTATTTCCTACATTATTATTAGGATTTGTCTTCTCCAACAAACTCCACAAATGTTTCAATTCACTGTTATCCAGCAGCTCCTTGCTCTTCTTCTGCAGAAATTGAGCTCTAGTTTCTTCTCTCAACTTCTGTGCTAATACATCGTCTGGTCTTGGTAATTTGAAGTAGAATTTTGGCAAGGTTTTGTAAGATTCATCATTACCTGCTACTTTGGGTTTATAGAGCTGTTTGAAGGTTTCAATTTCTATTTTTTCACTTTCTTCTTTAGTGATACTTGTGTTGGTATCTGTGTGAAAGACGAATATATAGTTCTTATATTATAAACATTTATTAGTTAATGGTAGTGTCTAGATAAGGTACAAATAGGTTAGCTGCAATTTGTGCAAGTCTCGTTAAAAATTTGTTTGGTATGAGGTAGATACTACCTGCTTATACGTCAACTCCTTAAAATATCAAAATAAACCTAATTACATATAAATAATTAATAAACCATTTCAATGAACTGTTTATAAGTGGTGGTATGTATATACCTATAGGGTTACAATTGTTGTAAGGTCTTATATATTTGTTTATCTAGTGTAAAACAACAATAATACATGCCATCTAATTTCTTGATGTATTTTCTGAGTCGGTCTTTTAGCATATTGTTTATTTTTAATTGCTTCTCGTCCACGGGCTTTGCTTCTGAAGTCGTGTTGTTATTTACTGTGTCTTCATTTTTGAGTTCTTTTACATTCTCTGACATTGTTTTCTGACGAAATTGTTTTAAATTAAATGAAAATAGTGGATTACAATTAGGTACCTACTTATTCTAATTAAATTAACTATATAAACTAAGTAAACTAACATAAAATTAATCTTTAATCTTTGACAGTTGTTATTTTCCAATCAACGCATGGATCGTTAGTTTGAAGAGCGTATACATTGAAGTAAACATTCCATTTTATTAAGTAGGTGCAACTGAGCTTGCTTTTTAAACTTTTTACATTAGATTTAGAAATAGATTTTCTAGATCCGAGCGGATTATAAAAATTGGGTTTAGATTGTTTAATATATTAGATTGTATAAAATATAATGATATGTAAATTGGTATACTTTATGCTCTTAACCATTTTTTTAAGAGGTTCACTTGTAGTGTGAACCTCTCCAAAAATATGGTTAAGAGCATAAAGTTATTGAAATAATATTTGCCGTGTAACTGAACGCAACGAGGAAAACGACTATATTACCATAACCGCCGCTATTCGTCACTAGATGGCGCTTAAAATGGTATCAGTGGTATTTCGCCAAAACTCCTTTATGTCTTTTCTATTAAGAAACTACCATTTACGATATATGCAGACATACTGCAGAATTCAAAATGCCTAAGGTTTAAATTTAATTAGGGTGTCTTCGACTATCTTATGAAGGTTCAAAGTGATTTCTTTGTTTAAGACCGAAAAAGTGTAAGTGATATTAGACGTTTCTATTAAAGCTAGATCTCCTCTGTTTGTGTGATCTTTGCAAAGTTATTTTTCGGTCTATGAAAATAATTTTTATTGCACAAGAATTTTACGAAGTAAGAAAAAGTATTACTTTCATTCAAGCTGAATTAACATTTTTTACTTATTATAACTTAAACATGTCTCTAAAATTTTACCATACCTTTTGCAACTTGATTTCTATGAATTAAGTCTTGCTAACTGAAGTGTTAATAGTAAGCATGCTATAAAGACAATACCAGCGAACGTTGAAGAATTTTTTGTAATTATATAAAATCAACTTTTCACCATTTGTTTTGTTAGATAAATGCATGCATAAACACACATTTACCGATAGCGACGGTGCCATAAGTGCTGATAGTATTAAGAATAAAATAACCGGGTAGGGTCCTTACACTAAGGTAATCTTGGCGAATTAAAGTTGTTTGAACTTTGTAAATAATCACACTTACCTCGTTAGTGTTATTACTCCCAGTGCCATAAAAAAATAGTGCTCTCACACCCTGTGGTTATACACACATTAAAGTGCGTGCGTGACATATAAGCAGATATACTATATATTATTGTTTTATACGACATTGAACTTTATTGATTTGAAACGAGAGCTTGTTTTTAATAAAAACAAACAATCTGTTTCATTATTACTTAATAAATTCCTAAAGCAAGAACATTTAAATATATAAATAAAATGGTATTCTCAAAGTACAAAGGGCGTAAACACTATCTATAGTATACTTTATAATGTAATCAATATTGTCACAGTGACCACAAATTACATACATTTTCTAATTCGCAATCTAGCGTTACACCTAGACACCTAGTCGTGATGTTTTAGTGAAACTTTATACAACAAGAACTACAAAGATATGTATTTAAAGGATGTGGTAGTTATGGTATTTATGAATAATTACTTTTTTCCTTTGAAATATGACTGTATATCTGCCTATTTAAAGGTAAATATGCAAATAAAATAGGCGTTCTTTCAAGCATTTGTTGTTTCATTTGAAAGTAGGTAAATGGTTTTAATAGGTACTTTTTACTTATATTTTGTTATTTAGCTAGAGTTTCTTTTAATTATTTGTTTTTTATGGTATAGGAGGCAAACGAACATGTTGGTCAACTGATCGTAAGTTATTACCGCTCGTCCATGTGCGGTGCTAACTTACTTACTTAGCTCTATAATTGAATAGACACAGGCATGTTCTTGCCCTTTGAGCACTATCCCCCAGAGAATAGAAGAGGGGGGGGGGGGGCATTGATTGAAAGGGAACTATGCGAGTGCAGTATAGGGTCTGGGTTGGCCTTTTGAAGAAAGGACTTTAGTTTTAAGTCGGCCTGTCTATACAGACGGCATACGGGCCCCAGCCATCGTGTAACCTAAACTTATAAGTTACCCTCTTGGCTCCTTTATCAGAAACTAGTCACTGAGCTCAAGTTGGCCTTGTCAAAACGAATAACTTGATATCAAAAGGGTTCACTAGTATCCACTGATAAGATCAACTTCCTGGTGAATGGGGATCATTGCAATAAATATGCCACATTGTACTCGTATATTGTTGTAATGTAAATAAACAATTTATGCTCATGCGACGATAAGAAGTAGGTTAGACCTTCTAAGATTTGTTTACATTCTAGTTACAAGTTAAGCAAATTTAAGCGCATTAAAACACTGTCACTTCAAGATATGCTCTATATCCTTGTAATCAGATATGAGGACAGAGCGCTATGGTTTATGAAAATCACTGTCTACCATTTATAGTTTCACTTAGAAGTATGGTATTAAGTAGGAATGATATTGAAAGAAAGTAGTATCGTATATTCACTTTTTGTGATTGAGATTTATTATCTGTACTGTTAACTCCTCGATATTAACTCTTTAAACTGTCTGAACTCCTAGTACATATTTTATAATACGTACACACATACACGTAAGCCTATAACGTTAAAAGGGTAGCCAGAGGCATATTAAAGACCTAATGCATGCATGCATAATCAGCAATATGCATCTGTTTTAATTGTCTTTTTTTTGTTTTTTTGTGTATTTTTTTTGTAATTTTTTAATTAAATCTTTTTGAGATGAGCTGGTAATATTAGTGTAATTAATTATTGCATGGTATTTTATATGTGGCAGCTTGTTATTAGCAATTTAAGTGTTACTCAGCTGTCTGTATTAATACTAGTCTGTTAGCTTGCCTAAAAATAAACAAATAATTAAAAATAAGCGCAAGATTATTATCTTCAGTCAACCGTCTTTTTATGGATTAGATGGTAAAATAAGGAGTATATATAGAAGGAATTGTAGATAATAATAAAAGGCAATGTTCATCATTATCAACAGCCTTTAATAGTGCAGTACTAGACATAGGAATCTCCTTTAGAAAGACCCACTATACCACGCTGGCCAGACGGGTTGCTATAGGGTTTTTTTCAAGTTTTCCTTCTTATTGCAGTGCTATTGTCCATCCAACGTAGTTTTCTCGCGTAGTCGGCTCTTACAACACGTTCGGGATGAATAGCGGTGGTGACACTCTGTATTCTTAATCCGTCACCACACGGACATATATAAATAGATATATTTTTGCGTACACCGATACACTGTTTTTGGTTTTAAACGTGAACGTGAATGAATGAAGTAGAGAGTGGTGTGGTTATAATTATTTTTATATTTTCAATTATACCTACAGATAGAAATTAAAACAGAGGAATAAAGGTTACAAATAAACATAAAAATAGTTATTGGCTTGTGTTATTATTTTTTATTTCGTGTTTCTAACTTTGAAACTGACGAAATTCCATAGAACCGTTTGACCCTTACTTTACTCCCTTAGGGGTGAAATTTATTTCTTAGTTGGAGCTTACAATAAAAAAATGCATCAGCTGCGAAAATTTCATATTTGTTATCATGAAATCAGTTAGTCAGTCAGGTCAAGTAATTTTATAAGTATTTATATTTATACGTTGCATGTGGAGCGCGGTTAGTTTTCTTGTGCCAATGTAAATATGCGAACGTGTCACGCGACAGTCCCTATCCACGTGGAACGATATGACATAAGATGGAAACCAGCTAGTAAGTCAACAATTTTTCTTTGTAACAATGTTCACGTGTTGATAGCGACTGGTCCTGTCTTGTTGAGGTAACGTGTACATGCTCTGATTCTTAGTACATGCTAAAAGGAAAGATGATAAAATTGGGATATATGTACAATATTACGAGTATTAGAACAGAAAGTTTGAGGGTATGTCATCCCAGCAAGTGCAAGTGACCTTGACCTTCTCGAATTGTTGCTTACAAACCCTAATTTAATCAAAAACATTTTTATTACCTTCTTGCCTACCTTTCCTTTTCAATAAACTTTTAATGTTCTACCCACAAGCACCCAGCTGGCGATAATAGAGCTGACAAGCGTGCGACCAAATTATGCTTGCATAAACGTCTTCATATGGCAGTTCTTCTGGCCCTTTCGGCAAAGCGAGGTTAGCTGCTAGTTTGAAGGTACGTTCAGCAAAATTGCCCGAATTTTCGTTCCTATCGCGTCGGTTATCGCTGTAATGTCGTTGGTTACAAACCATTGTGATGAACGAATACTTTGTACGTTTTCCATTAATGCACGGAGTGGTCCAAAGTTGACAAAATTCCGAAATGATTTGACATTTTCATTTTAGTGGGTACTTTACAGGTCCTCCTCGTCTATGTTATGTATGACAGCTAAGGAACGAGTGAAACGGATGATTGCTATATGCACGCTCGTTTATTGTCAGGACAGAATGTGTTGATCGCAGTCACACACATTAACATATACAACACTACTCTATGAGGGATGTACCTGAGACTGTATATATGTATAAGGACAGTTGGAAGAAGTTATCAAATTTGCATATCACGTGTTTCGCCTTTAAATAAGGCTTCAAATCAGCTTCTTGTGGAAGGAAATCGAGTATAAATGTTAATCAATTCTACATGCAGCACAGTTTTGAGACAGCTTTATGACAACATCATAATAATCAACATTACTAAAAATTATAATTTTTTTAAATATTTAGCTGCAAATGGTCTTACCTAATCGCAATTAAACGTTTAAATGTAGCTTCCGACCTTCAGAAGTATTACACAGTGACCCGGATGAATATATATTTTTTTATTTGATAAAAAAGTAAGTTATTAAAGTGTAAATATTTTCAGTGCGGAAACTCACAGGACCCCAGGTGGTTTCCCGTAGTAGATATTATTACTAACGGTATACACTCATTTGTTGTAGAGAGTTGT